ACTCCAAATCCCTCTGCAAAACCCTCTCAAAAACATGAACCCTAATTTTGTACACAGAATTCAGCGACGCCTCCATAGAAAAGCTTGTTGAAGGTAATTCGCGATCACCGAACCAAACCAGCAAAACCCCCAAAACCAAACCCTCCTCTCTAAGCCTCACTACCTCGACTGCACCCATCACCGCCGAGAATTTTCCCATTTTGGGGACAATTTTGGAGAGAGAGTACACCGAGATTGCGCTGGCAAAGCAGCCCTTGAGGATTGGTTGCCCATTCGGATTGAATAAAGGGTCTAATCGAATCGAGAGAATTTTTTGGTTGAGAAAGCCGGTTGGAGAAAGCTTTGGAGGTGGTGGGTGTGGAGGAGTGGAGGGATTGGAGGGTGGTTTTGGTTTTAGAGTGAGAATTGGAGGGTTGGTGATGAAATGGTTTGGTTTTGATTCGAGTTTGAGGTAGGAGAGAGGTGATGAACAGGGCAGTGTGAGTTGAAATAAAGCCATTTTTTTTTTTGGAGAGGAAGAAGCTGAAGCTGAAGCTGAAGATATTTATACCTTTGCAGAGTTAGAATGATCTAGGTTTTGATCCTATGTGGTTAAACTTGTCTAAACCGATTAGTGGATGGGTAAGAAGGTAGCTACAATCGGGTGTTTTTTTTTTTTTTTTTTTGGGGATTGAGAATAACGAGATTTTTTCGATCTGAAAATTATTAAACAACCACTATTCTCGATTAATTGTATTAGATTTTCAGCATTTGTTCATGAATCACATGAATCATTGAAAATAATAATGTTATTGTTAACCCTTATCAATGATTGATGATAGTTATTTTCAGATTGAATTTGCAACGTTGTTTGTATGGTCATTTAGTAATTCATAATCATCATTTTCTTAACATTATCTAATAAATCTTTCACACTTATGCACTCTCCATCACCCCCCCCTCTTTTCCCTTCTCTTTTTTCAATTGTGAAGCCTCATCACCACCACACACTAATCATATTCCGTCACAAATCTACAATCCCAATCCACTATTTGTCCCCATCCAGAACTCCATTAACCCCCCCCCCCCCCCCCCCAAAGGTGAGATTAGCTGTGTGGGGGGGAAATAATATGGTGAAAAATCATGTGCATTGCATAATTTGGTCACTAATTGCCAAGAATTGATGAAGAAGAATCACACTACACATGGTTTACAAAACTTGAGACACAAATAGAATTAGGTGGTTGTTTTGATACTTCCACAAAAAAAACATTAAATGGAAGTAACAATGCTAGTATAGAAATAACTGTTACCAACAAAACTGCAAAAAAAAAATAAATAATTCAAATAAAAAATCTTCTGGGGTTGTCAACATCCAACTATATAAACACATCACTTCTCTTTAGTTTCTTGGTTATGGCAAAGATTGCTCCACACAGCCAGCCAAAATGATTCCTGAAACAATGATGGTAGATTTGAGTGTTTGCAATGCATCCTTCTTTTCCCATCTTTTTCTGTTTTTCTGCTGCTTCAAGCTTTTTCCTGCAATACAAACCATTTTTAACATTATAATTAACTGAATTCTTATTCCGGGGTACCCAGAAATTGGAAAAACACATGCAAGGGCTTTTGCATCTACATGCATATTAGTGTAACTATAAGATTACTATAAGATTGTTTTATTGTGATTTAAATATTGCGTGTTTGAATTACGTAAACCGTATTTCTAGATGCTTATGCAGAATAACATTGTGTATATTTCGTTATTCTCAAATCATGTAATAATGAGAATCTCGTGCATTACACTGCGCTTTAGATAGTAATTGTTAGAAAAATGTGGTGCTCGTGCATGTTGTATTTAGGCTCAATAATGCACATTGAGCATAGCTCTTATAGAATTATGTGACGATTTGCAAATCTTGATTACGTTTTTTATTTTTTATTTCATGACATTTATGTAACGTTAATTTCATTCGTAGTGTGAATAATAGAGGCATCGGACTTTGTAATGTGAAATAATTGATTTTTAGTCGGCATGATATTTATTGGACGAAAATGGTAGCCATCAAATAAAATGAATAAATCCTTTCATAACCGTGCAAAAAAAAAAAAAATGTAGCACCAAGATGGAGCCTAGTGATGGCCTGGAAGAGACCCCAATCCCATCATTTTTTGAAAATTTCACTGTTCAATTGCTACTAAAACGATAACTCTTCTCACTCTCGATGAAAATGATCCCATTCTGAATTTTGGAAATTCTTGTTCCATATCTACTCACACATTATCGTGTAATCAAAGTAGCTAAATGCGATTCACCAAAACAAAGATGTCAGCTAAGTCTCAAAAATTTACCTTAATCTCCAATGAGGTAGCCATTTCCGATGATACGGGATCAACCTCAAAATTTTTGTTCCAGTCATGATTCAACTCTCTGTCTGCATCGACAACGGGAAAAGTGTCCTCTGAGCTTGCCATTTTCTTCACTGGAAAACTTTTTGCATTCACATTAAAATTGCCTCCTTAGTTCCTTTGAATTTTTTCATCTACTTTTGTGCCGGGGGGAGGGGGGGGGGGGGGAGTGAAAAATAAGATATAAGAGGTTTTCATATAAGCAAAGAAAGAATACTTAACCAAACACATGTCAAGTGTTTTCAACAATTTCCTATTCTTGCTTTCAACTGTCCGGGAAACCTGTTGTTTTGGGGGAGGAGGGGGGGGGGGGGGGGGGGGGGGGGCACCTGACCATGTGAAATGACCAGATTGCACTCAACAATACCCTCCGTTTACCAAACCACGTAATATTATTTGGACTTAAAATATAAAATTCTATTCTAGAAATTTTAATGTATTCACATTTGACATTCCAGATTTACTAAGGAATGCCACATGACAAAGGTTAAGAAAAAGGCGGGAGAGGATTGATCACAATGACATTTGAAAAGCAAGGAGATAACTAACTGAGAATTATCAAAAGATAACAATTGATCAAAAGAAAAATATAAAAAGGTGGTTAAATGAAGAAGATGGTACATATTCAAACCCAAAATACCCACGATCTAGACATCATTCCGAGTGGTTTTTGGGATAGTTTAGGTGCAATTAATATTGTAATTACGTCTCTTGTAATCGAAGTTCTTTCGATTGATTAATAAAAGAATTCTCTTTTATTAGTTTTTTGTTTTTAAATTTTGCCTTTGGACAGGAAAAATCTCTATCATTTTCGTCCTACGAAATTTTGAAACAAAGCATTTGAACCCATTCCAAATAATTACTTGAAACTTGTCTATTAATTAGAATGTTTCGACAACAGATTTTGAAACATGTATACTTCAATTTCTTCGGTAATTTTACTTCATTATTACATTCATAATATTTAAAAAAATCCTCACTCTTCCCAAGAAAATATTCAATATAACCGTGATATCACGTCATTAATGTCACCAACCAATTATAAAATACTTGTAGACTAGTTTTTTTTTTTTTAATCCAATATGTAGACTTAGTGGATCCCATTATTTTAATAACTACCAATAACCATCATATCTAATGATTACCATGTTAAATGGTGAAATTCACCATTTCTATTTGGTATTTTATTATCAGTCGGCGACACCATGTGTCAATGATGATATGATATTACCGTTACAACTATTTTTCTCTACATAGGAAAATAGAGGTTGCGATTTATTTCTACTCCACAATAAAACCATTGGACAATAGTAATGTATTACAATGTACTAAACTAATATTTTGTAGACCATAAGGTGATTGTGCTGACATTCAAAACCATAATCTAAATGCTTTTACCTTGAACTCACCCCACTTGTGCTAATCCTTACAAGTATTATTGAACTAAATGGCAAGTCCTATATATCTCTTATAGGTCTACCATCAGATTTTCAATAGAAACTATAACATACAAAAGAGAACATGACATGTACGACCGAATGGGTAAGGGGTCAGTTAGTCCTCAAAGTTTGGGAGGTCAAGTAGTCAGGCAGGCAATATGGAATCGAGGGATATTAGAGTCCGTCGATGGTCTTACTCCCGTCTTATAACCCCATGAGAGTCGAGGATTGAGACTCGATAGCATGGATTGAAACTTTGTAGCGAAGATCAAGACTCGGTGGCGATATTCTGGTCCCTTGGTGGTCCTACGCTCGACATGAATCTCCTAACCCTCGCCTTGGTCACTGGGTCATGATATGACTAAACCTGTTTGAGAGAGTGCCAGCGACCATCCAATCGTCTAGGCCCCTCCAAGGTGTTACCAAGGTCACATTCTGGGATGGCTGCCACGGCTGGTTGCTCCTTTCCACCACTTACCACAGAAGAAGAAAAAAACAAAAGAACAAGAGAACACCATGAAATGTGCATCCTACATACACATGCCAAATATGAATGTCTGGCCATACGCTTTAGCATCACACATAAAAAAGAATGATGAAACAGAATTCATGGTTGACTAACAAAATTCATGCATCAACTTTTCTACAATACAACAAATTGAAACAATAATGAACTATTTGGCATCGAATCACTGTATCATCTTCAGTTACATCATCAACTATTGAGGAAACGATTTCTGGACATGAGAAATTGATGGATTCTCTTGGTTGGAAAAATTTGCAGAAACTTTTGTTCCATGATCAGAGGTGAATACAAGCAAAATTTATGACATAGAGCTGACGATCATTAAGCTACAAGTCCTTATCGCAACCAATTTCACACCTAAGAAGAATGGGATCGAAAAAGTATGGGATCAAGCCTGTGCAATAAGATCAGGAAGGTGTCTAGAGTCAACCAATTTCATGCCTAAGAAGAAAGGGATCGAAAAAGTATGAGATCAAGCCTGTGCAATATGATCTTGCTTACTTCTGCATCCAAAATCATATTTTGCCAACTTGCAGAACTATGGAAGTGTGTCTTGAGACTGGGAAGCAATGCCAGAGGATGTTAAAGAGGCTAACTTAAGTTCATTCTTTGAAGATCTATAAATTCTCTAAAAACTAAAGGAAAAACAACCTGGGGTCATTGCTTCCATTATCTTTGTGCTCTTCTCTGCTTCTCGAATTTGTGAAGGTGTAACCTGTTTGCATAACAAAGAGAAAGGAGAATCAATTGCACCTTTTCTATTTTTAGCATTTAATAATGCAACATTAACAACGGGATGCCTTTTGGACTTTAGCCACTGTCTCATCACCTATTTACTCTAGTAAGTAACCACAAACATGGTATCTAGTTTTGTAAGCAAATGCCCAAAACAGATCGAGACATAGGTTTAAAAAATAGGCAGAAGAGAAATCATAGGAAAAGTTAACCCAGATTTTCATACCTTCCCCATGCCAGGAATCGTTCCCCAATGACACGGGACATTGAACCCATCCGTGCAACTGTACGAGTTTGCGAAAGGAAGTCATTGAAGTCAAACTTTGCACTCATGATCTTCTTTTGCAATTCTTCAGCATCTTCTTGGCGCATCTACTCACGATTTATGTAAACGCCAGATTAAACTATGATCCTTTCAGGAAAAACGACATACAATAAGTTAACACTCACGATTTCTTGGGCCTTCTCCACAAATGATAGAACATCTCCCATCCCTAATATGCGTCCTGCCATACGATCTGGGTAGAAAGCTTCAAGGTCTTCCATGCGCTCCCCACGTCCGACAGGCTTGATGGGCTTGCCCATTGTTAGTCTCTTCATAATTTCTAAAAAAACTATAATAAAAGGGCAACAATGACCTTTTGTTTTCCTTAAATAATGGATCCACGAATGAAGAAGGATAACAATTTCATCAAAAAACATGTCAGTCTGCTAACTAACTCTTGAAGTTTTCAGCTAATTGAATATCAATAACAGCAGCTTCAAAATCACTGCACTTTGTTTAAAGGCTATGAGGTTTGTTCAAAGGTTACAAGCTCAACCACCCTTCTTAAGCTAGCACTTTGATGAAAAATCAAGTTATGGACTCACAAAGAAACGAGAACAAGATGATCTAAAAACCAACGCTTCTGATTTTTGCCAGGTTTGGCATAAATCTCTGTGTGGCTATTTGTTAGAAAACTTTTAAGTATCAAGGCTTGGCTTTAAGAAGAAATCTGAAGGCCATTTCAGAAATATAATAGACATGTTAGTTCCCATCATAGAGACACAATAATCATAAATATATTTCTTTCAGGAGTTGAAATAAAACATCAGCAGTTTAAGGTAATACCAAGGCCAACCTCTTTAACACTCAAAGCTGCACCACCTCTAGAATCTCCATCAAGCTTTGTCAAAATGGCACCAGTGATTCCAATTTCAAGGTTAAATGTAGTGACAAGGGCTGCAAATTCATCAAAGATAACCACAAGAGGCGATACTATGGAATTTGCAATTGGCATTATCGCTTGAATAGTAACAAAACACAAAATCCTAGGAAGGTATGCAAATAAAAAAGAAGGAAACATTTGCTTAAGAGCAACTATTCTGTGCTTCTAAGGTACATTCTTAATCCCATTCTATCAGACCAGAAGAACAAGAAAGCAAGCAATTTATTTTTTACACTCACATGGACACAACCTCAACAAGAAGCCATTAGCCATTAGGGCAGCAATTCTTTATTGTGTTGGACAATGAAGAAAACAACAAGCTCAAAAACTAAGGTGTCATTTAGTAACTGACAGTTTTTGTTTTTTTGTTTTTTTTTTTTTTTTCATTTCTCATATTGCGGCCAAAAAAAAAAAAGCGTTTGGTGAATGTTTTGGTTTTTTTTTTTTCCAGTTTCGTTTTGAAAACAAGGCAAAAATATGAAAACATCTAAAATAATGTTTTTGAAAACATCCAAAAAATAAAATACGGGCAGCTTCGCAATAGATTTAATGAGATCTGAACTTCGATCCTCCTTAGCAACAAAAAAGGGATTTTCTTGCCGAAGTATAAAAACACTCTTTAATTTTATTTTTTTTAGATCCTTTTCTCTCGTCTCTCTCTCTCTCCCATCTTTGTTTTTTTTTTTTCTTGGGTATTGGGTGATGGGTTTTGGGGGTGGTGATGGGGTTGGGTGGTGGGTTTTGCAGGAGGTTGAGTGGTGAGTTTCGAGGCTGGTGGTGAGTTTCAGGGAGTTGGGGATGGGTTTCAAACGGTTTGGGGGGGGGGTATTTCGGGGGTGTTGGAGTTGGTTTTCAGTGCTTTGGGGGGGGGGGGGGTGGAGGGTGGTGGGGGTAAGTTTTCTGGGGTGGTGGGTGGTAGATTGCAGGGAGTTTGGGGGTAGGTTTTCGATGAGGCTGGGTGGTTGTTGGTGGCGTTGTGCGGTGAATTTTGAGTAAAATATCAAACATGTTTTTTTTTTTTTTTATATAATTTTTTAAATATAAATAACTATCAAACTTGTTTTATATTTTTTAATTTTTATCATGAAAAAAAAAAATTAATTTTATTTTTTTTTTATAAAAAAAAATATATAAATAAAAACATTATCAAACGCACGTTGAAAATGAGTGAGTTCATATAAACCGGGGGTAAAACTAAAAAGAACAGAATTAAGAATAAATATATTGGTGAAACAAAAAAGTAGAACCACGCTGGTTTGAACACGTTTGTAAAAGACATGTTACTGAAAGTAGACCAAATTAACTTTACATGAGATAGTACATAAGATATACTAGCTTACAAAAGAAATAACTGCTACACATCTTCTTGTTTTCGGTAGAAGTCAGATAAAGCACGACACACTTTTCTTCGTACATAAAAGAAAATTTTCATAAGATATCCTGATATTTTGTTTTATATTGTTTCGTACATTTGTTTTCTCTTTTGAGCATCTCCAATTACGCTCAATAAAATAATTACTCAAAATATATTTAAATATTATATTCACTATTTTAGTTATCTATTTTTTTCAAATTCACTCCAACCACGCTATCTATTTTAACTGATTACTTCAATTAAATTTAACTAACTTTCAATAATAAAATTTAAAAAATAACAATTCAATTAGACATTGTATAAATTTAATCAATTATGGGCTACAAGAGTAAATATCATAAAATACTTGAGAGTTTTGCTGAATTTTTGAATTTTTTTTGGAGAATTTTACTAAATTTTTGAAGGTATTTTACTGAATTTTTGAGGGGATTTTCCTATATTTTTATCAACTCATCGTCTTCCACCGTTCTGATCAACAATACAAAAATCACCACAGATCCAAAAACCACATCACCAGAACCCACCATCACTGCTCCCCATCCCCCTAATCCATTGAGAACCAGAGGAGGGCCAGAAGAACACGCCACCAGAGCATGCCAACACCACTGGATTCCTCCACCGAATCACCACCGCCATTGAAGCCACTAGAGTACCACCACCAGTAAACCCATTCTCAACATAAACCCTAAAAGACAGCATCAAAACCTAATTGCGACATTCAAGGGCATTTTGTGATTTAAACGAAGTCAATAATTGCAAATTGACATAAATAAATCTATATGCTTTGGGGAAAAAAAGATCGAACCAGTGGAAGGAAGGAGGAAATGAAACTTTGAAACTTCAATACCTGATCTGCCTAGGATGAAGGAGAAAATGGAAGGAACCTATGCAGAAATGGAGAGAAGGCAGCAACTGGCGAGCTGGTAAACGCTCACCAGATCTGGCTAGCAAAAAAGCCCTCAGCTATTTGGCAAGCTGGATAGCTAGAGCATTGGAGCCTGGGATTTGGAATTTGCTCACTAAAATGGTGTAGAGGAAGCAATTAGCGAGAGCGTTGGAGATGCTCTTACAGCACTTACAATAAACATGAAGGAGTAAAACTATACAAATATGCAAGAAAGCTAAAGAATCAGGTGTGCTTGGTTCCGCGACACTGAACGAAAAGAGTGTGCCATGCTCAAGACATATTTTACATCTCATCTTAAAACAAATCAACTGTTCATGAACAAGAAACAAAGGGACAATTAATCTTGGCACTTCAATTTCATCATTCACTTCCATGAATAAGATGGGTCACCATTTTTTCTTCAGTTGGAGAGTTGTATATTGCTGTGCAGCCACAAGCCATGGACTTGGGGTACCAAAGCATTCATCTTGACAGCAGGAAAAACATTGCAGAAAAAAGTCTTGTACTGCTTAAAAATATATGCTCGGGAGTGGAGAATGAAAGTAGCTAAGTTCCAAAGTTGAACAAGTGCTGACATGATCCTTTTGAGTAAGATTACTCATTCTGTTATTCTTCATCTTGAAGTGAAAGAGAGATTAGCCTCTTGTTCGTCAACTGATTAAAGCTAAGTAAAAAAAAAAGTGCGTCAGAATTCAAATCTTGTGCCAGGTTACTTTGTTTATAAAGCCTACTAACATTATTGCATCACCTTCATTTAGCATCATAAAACATTCAACGCATAACATAAACTGAAAAGAAAGCTCTTTTTTGAAAAAATGTCTCGGGGAAGCAAATTCAGGTACCTGTTCACCCAAAATAACAAGCTGGTCAATTGCAGCCGGTCTGTACACATCTCCAGCAATCAGCATGCAATTCTTCCCCTGTGATGCAAGTCATATCACAACTTCATCACTATTACAAAGGCATAACTAACTGGCAGGCTAACTATCGCACACACATATGCAACTATTACAGAGGCATAACTAACTGACAGGCTGATGAACACACACGCACATACAACTCTGTGTGTGTGTGTGAGAGAGAGAAAGAGAGATACGAATATATGTACCTGTTTCTTCAGATACAAAGCTAACTTAGCACTAACAGTCGTCTTTCCAACACCTTGTAGACCAGCCAATAATATTACAGTAGGGCCAGATTTTGCAAAAACCAGTTCAGAATCCTCTCCTCCCATCAGTTTCACAAGTTCATTATGTACAATCTGCGTCAACCAGTAAACATGTAACCACAGCTCCAGCACCAAGAAAGATTCAATTCTGGCAATTGACACAACATTTACTAGCTTTGATTTATTAATTTAATTCAGTGTGATTTGAAGCATGTATTATGATGGTCACAAGAGGGGGAAAAAAAAGGCAGAGTGCCAACCACATGCTTAATAGGAAAAATTCCAATGGAATGCCATTCGCAGCAATATAGAAATGAAAGTAATAGACAATAAGTAAGAAAAAAACATCGTTTGTGAGACTTTTTGATGTACATAAAGATCACAATGTCACCAAACCACTAGTTAAGGTCTAGAAAAGAGACTTTTCAAGTCCATACCTAGTCTCGGTGCCCCTAAAGTGGAAGAGTGAAGGTCAACATGTAGTGATATGTTAGACCTGCAAGATAAAAACATTGCAACCTGTATTATGTAGCAAGTTATCGAATATGCATACTTTAACCAATTGTTGATCTGGTCTCACTCCTTGAATTCAGCCAACACCAACAGCTTGGACAAACCTTCTCACAACAGGAAGGCTAACCTGTCAACAGAAAAGGTAATCATTATTTTGAGTGTTCCACAAGTAAATACAGTCCTACAACATAGAGTCACTTATATCTGCTTCTAAAAGAGCTCTCCTGATGTCTATCATAGGCTCCACAATATTCTCCTTGGTCAAGACCTCTGATGCATAATAAATTCACAGAAGAAAACAACTATTCATCAAGAATGAGAATGAGAACCACTTTGGTAAAGACAAGATGACCCAGCTTTAAATCTGTCTTTACAATTTTAACATCACTGATCTCGATCCTACGATTCCTCAAATTTGAAACCATTGTATTATATGAGTGAGATACACAAACTTACCTTGTGCATATCAGCAATTTTTTTGTTACACAGGCAACTTGGAATTCTAATATTCTAGAATATTTAAAAATTTAGCAAATAACAGACAATGAATACACCTGTAGTTTTTGCATCATGTTTTAAAAACTATTACTAGTTATGAACACATCTTTAGCTCTTCATCTAATTGCCAAAAGTATTAATTTCTTATAAGAGGAAACAACCTTTCAGTATGCGAGGTATGGTTGCATACATCTGCTCCTCTCCAGACCCCGAACTAGTATGAGTCTTGTGCAATAATAGACTGCCATAATTTTTGTTAATATCATCTATCTTATACTATATCCAACACTTTCCTGATTACGAGTATCATCTTTTCTGGCTTCACCCCGAAGCCCTATGGTATTCTATCCGTGGAATTCATTATAGATTCCTTTTTAGATTACTTGGAATGCATCAAGGCAGCCATTTTCGAGGCTCAAAATAGGCAGAACAATGCGAGAATGCTTTTAGCCATACAGAAAAGGGAATCAGGACAAAAATTCAAGCAAAGTGATAAATATTTAGTTATTTACCATTAATTTCGAACATACTCCCTAACATTTCGATTTACAAAAAACGAAGCATACTCCCAATTGCTAATCTAAAGCTTTAGCAATAGATTCAATCTCAACCACTCACAAACTCCACCAGTAAAACATCAGATTTTAACTACATACTGCTTAAAAATAGCAGACAATTGGATTGGGGATTAACACGATCGTCATATATGAAAAATGAGAATGAAGAAAAACAGGAAAAACCTTCTCCTTTGAGTTTGTTCCAAGCTGCCTCAAGTCCACTGGTGAGTTGCCCGAACATCTCAGCTCTAATCACACCACGCATTTCTCTTTTAACCGTAACAATGCTCTTGGAGTTGATCACTCCCCACACCTCTCTGTACAAAAAAAACATAAAATCGAAACGATGGAAAAAAATAATAATAATGTGATTGTGTGCTTTTTATCTTGACTTACAGTGAATGAATTTCTTGAAGAGAACAAGACAGAGTGAGTCGAGCCGGTCCAAGAAGAAGAAGAACAAGCGCCCGTTGGCTTTCTAGAGAATTTTGAATTTGAGAGGTTTCGGCAAAATGGAAGTGAAGGTGAAGTAGCAGAGAGATGGCGGGAAGCAACGGAAGAGAAAGGTGAAGCTTCCATTGAGGACTGCAGAGATCGATTAGAAGAAGGGAGCTTTTTTACACTCTCTTTATTCTCTTCTGTCTGGTTTTATCGATTGAGAAACGGAGTGCAATTTGTACTGCTCTCTATCTATTGGTTGTACACAGTACATCGCGGACTACGGTTGTTTGGGTTTTGAAAGATCATGGGCCGCCTGATTATGGAAGAATGGGGGAAGGCCATGGTACCGATTGGTCAAAATTCGGTACCGTACCGAAATTTGATGGGAGCCGTTGATGTTCTTATCATTAGTGCACAACCATTGATTTGAATTTTTTTTTTTTTTTTGGTCAGCACACTTTTGTACCTGGAAACCTATAGCTTGTGCAGTTGGTCTGTTAAAAAATAAATAAGATCGATCGTACATTCATATAATCGATCTAAATTATTTTTTTTCTTTTTGCTTGTACTTATGTTGCAACCTTACTTGGGAGGGGGGAGAATGGTCTTGCCTACGGAGGAACGGGGAAATTGGGACATAATAATGAGCAATAAGATCGATAGTAAATTAATATGATCGATCAAATTTTTATTTTTTTACTTGTGTTACATTAATATGATCGATCAAATTTTTATTTTTATTTTTATTTTTTTACTTATGTTACAACCTTACTGGGGGAGTGTATTGCTTATGGGGGGAATGGAGAAATTAGGATCGATCATAAAGAATAATGATCGATCCTAAAAAGATATACATTTGTATTCAGGAGATCAAAATAGTGAATGTTATGATCAATCTTAATTATTTAAGATCTATCTCAAATATTTGTTCGATCGAAATTATGTACGATATATCTTAATATTTAATGTATAGATGGACATTAAAAATAAAGTTACATTTTTTAGGAAAGATTACAATTTTTATTAGTAATAGGAAAATGTATGAGTTTACAGGTAATGTGAGGTAAGTTATATATTAATTGGTAAGGTTATCTATAATAGAAGGAAAGTTATTACAAATAATGGTGGAATTACTCCAATCAGTGGCAGTAGAGGTAATCGGTATGAGTGAGGTTATAACATATTGATGAAAGGTTATTACATGTTGATATAAGGTAATCGGTATGAGTGAGGTTATAACATATTGATGAAAGGTTATTACATATAAAAAAAATTTGAAGATTGTGACAAGGTTTTTCATATATATCTTACTTTCATATATATATATATATATATATATATATATTGCTTGAATTGCATCTACCATTTCATTTACTGTCATTGAGTCATTGAATTTTTAATGCAGATTTTTATTCCCATGAACAACAACAATCTACATTGGTACTTATGCATGATCGATGTAGTTGAGCGTGAAGTTGTATTGCTTAACTCAATGCCATTAACGGACAGCGACCGTCGACTAATCGATGTGAAGAAGGTGGTTGCGTATCTTGATTCTTTACTTCAGTGTATTGATTGTTCGTACAAGCCAATTCTCCACACATTCCTTTTGCTAGAAGCTACATGGGCTCCAAGACAAGAGAATGAACACAACTGCGGTATGTTTGTTATTAAATTCATGGAGGAACCTTTGTTAGGGTCCTGGCTAGATTGTATAGGTAATACAACAAATGGACATCTACGTTGCACTAAGTTCACCAATTTTCGTATTTCATACACTAACAATATTATTAGTGTCAGGATGGTTCGAATGATATGCGTAGGAAGCTAGCTGTTCAACTGGTCACCCACAATGAAAACAGATTGAGAAACCAACTTGTTTCCAAGGCACGTATGCGATTGGCTGATGGTGGAAAAATTATGTCATATGCTTGATTTAGTCATTTAGATGAAACATTTGGTTGCTATTTTGTTTTTTGGATTTTGTAATTGCAGCATCTGTTATATTGGATATATATATATATCCAATATAAACACCTGCAGTGTATACATATATAAGTACATACAACAATATATTTATATGAATCTGAATTTTGCTATATTACATTCACATGTTTACTCTAAGGTTCTTATAGGGTTAGACATATGAAGTACATGAACAAAAAATGCATTTCCATTCCAGTTGTGCCAACACACATCAAAACCCAACACATGAACATGACTTTTCGGTATTCACAACACCCCCACATAATATATTACACCATCTTCACCCACTGCTATGCAACATTCGCAAGCCAATATGCAATGAAAAATATTCATGATAAAAAAGTGCAAACTTTAACTTTCTGGCCAGCTTTGTGGCTCTTTATTCTTGTGTCTGATACTTTTCCAGTGATCGCAATAGTCCGGGAATTACATGTTTCGATCGGTTGCATATTAGAGGATCATACCATTGAAAATAATTTCACCCACCTACCTCTTGCATGTCGTTATGTTGGTTAACATTATGATGTATTTGCAAAAAATAAAAAATTTTAAAAAAAATTAAGGAATAATTATTTTTTTAGCATATTAGTATCTTACCCCATATCTCTCACAACAAATAAACCTCCTACCTGGATTGGAATCTGTCCATGAGGTCTTCAATATTCTCATTCTCCTATAGTTGCATTCTTAAAAGTTCATACTTCTATAAGCTTATACCAGAGTGGTGTAAAGTGATTTTTTTGATCCTTTCATATGAGTGTTACTCTCTCTCTGTGTATTCACATATATAAGAAGCATCTTACTGTTGGCAGGAACATTTTCGTCCACTTTTGTGGACTGCATATGCTGGTGAATTGTCCAAAATCTCCTTGTCTCCTTTTTATGCTAGTTAGTCTCCAAAAATATCCCTTGAGATTTGACAAGCACCACGCTAACATAGACATGGTCTACTTCAAATGAACAGATTACAAAATGTGTGGTTATTAATTTTTGGTCATTAAATATCACTCATAAAATTTGATAATTTTATGTTGTAAAAATAATTTTTTTGTAATCAGTAAATTTAATTAATTTATTTTATTAAATAGTGGATTTTAAGAACTATAAATATGACATAATTTATTAATTGAGGAATTGACTCTTTCCAACTCCCTTTACTTACTTATTCACATACAAGTTCTTTTACTTGGCTGAGAGAGAGATAGAGCCTAACTTGGGGAAAAAAAACTATATTACCATAGCCGGAAAACAAAATTAGTAATTAGAATCAATATCAGAATTTTTTTTTTTTAACAAAGAGAAATTTTACTGATGTCCTGAAAGAGTTACATAAATTTGGGAAGCAAAGAACCTCCAAATCATACCAAATATATACATAAATAAGAAATTGAAAAACCAAAAAATTCGTCTTCCTCAAATGTGGAAGACCTTGCTGATTTTGCATCAACAGAAGCTTTTCATAACTAGGAAAAGAAAAAAGGCATCAGAAAAATCTGTTGAAATTCTGCTTTGATCCACATTTTTTGTTAAAAAATCAGCTACACCTTTTACTTCCTTGTACACATGATCAATCTGGAAACCAAGTCTGCTCAAAATCCTGTGTATATATTTTAGAACAATCCAAAATTTCCAAGAGCGGATCACTTTACCCAACAACATGTTTACCAAAACATGAGAGTGTCACTCAATCAAAATTCTATACACCTTCAACCCATACCTCTATAATTGTTAGTCCATCTAGTAAAGTCATATCTCTCAAAAAAATTTGCAAACAACTGAATTTACCAATAAAAAAAATGATCATCCATTTTTATTCCCAAAAAAAAAGAGATTACAGTGTACAAATATTTTTTGAAGACAGATCATTTTGCTACCATATTACAATCAACACATGGACTTCGCTCCATACATGATTACACATAACACAGAACATAAACAAGAGAATTCAAAGAGAAAAGGTCAAATAGAAAACAAAAGTGATTGTATTGTAGTACAGAGAGAAAAAGTAGCAAAGGGAGAGACGGAAACATTACTCACGTCAGCAAAATCGGGCATTTAGCTGAGTTAGCATTTTTCTGACAGTTGGCTGAGTTGGCTTCTCCTAATTGGTATTGAGTAACAAGTGTTCATGCCACCTTGGAGTCGGTATACACATTGTCTCAAAAATATACAGATGCATCCACCTTCATCGTAAGTTTATGTTCAAGAGGTTTAATGACTTGCCAATTATTTCATCTCACTTAGTATTGTGTGGATGGGTAACCAGTTTTAATGTTAGATCCTTTCTAAGATTTGACGACAATGCCTGCATATAATTTTAAGTGTTATAACATGTGCAAAACATTAGAACTATAGTTTGGCCCAGACGAGGTTGATGGATCATATCGACAACGTGAATTCCACAATCATATCCATTCACCTGTTTAGGTGTCCAACTTGGTTCAATCATAGGCCATGTACTGATTACTTTTTCATAATTTTTGTTAAACTGGCAAATAAGTTCACCTAATGCCGCAACCTACTCAGTCATACAATGCAATAAGTTACACTTGCCAAATCCACCTTCGAATAAGTTGCATGGATCATATTTTGCATTCCAAATTAGATCATACATACCACATCATCCACTTGCTTACGTCGTGCATGCTTTATTGTTCGACTTGGAAGAGTATCCAGTAGGAGGACTTCTTCCTATTGGATGTCCACAATGCATAAGTACCAATGTTTTTGGCTGTCGTAAATGGGGACATAGATCTACATAAGCCAAGTGCAATTAGTACACTATGGTGACGTACATAATTTGATAGATTATGATTTTGCAATGCAGAATTTGTTGTGAGTTTTTATCTAGTCATACCTTCACACACATGTTAATGTCCTGGATGTATCGGCCATACAATCTCATGAGTTTTCGTTACATGATCACACCATTGTTCCCCTCAGATGTAAAGTGAATGACAGTTTACTACAATTTAAGGATTTGTGAAATTAGAAAGACGTAACTTCATATTAAACATTAAAACACAATATGACCACAGTGACAAAAGAAAATCACATAAAACCAAAAATTTATTGTGGAGTATTATCGCAAACCACGTCGGAATATACCACCTGGCCTTCTATGTGTCATTGTTCCCCATATCTGTGTGTGGAATAATGCATGCAATGACATTAATTAACTGTGTATAGAATTATACATATTTAGAATTGCATACATTTAATCCATTGCCAGTTAATTCACAAATGGGTATACAAATATGGGAAATTTATATAACTCACCTCGCTCGACAACCATTGTCTAGGTCCCAATGACTTCATTGTCATTCTTGTCGCATGAAAGTTTTCAAACTCAACAATCGTCTCACTGTCAAATTACAACATGTAAGGTATGATTTGCATAAGAACTGCAAATAATAAACACCATGTAATAGTAGTAATTGTGACATACTCTACATCAAGTCCCTCATGAAAAATGTAGTTCAATATTGCATTTTCTACTTCATCACTAACATCAATAATATGGGGAACCAACCCATCAACAACCTGAAAGTGGAGTGTATACCATTTTAGGTCCATGTGCACTAAAAAATTTAATCGGTTTAAAGTTGTGTGTAAAATAACCTCATTGGTGCTGTTAGCCTGGACCTCGCTTTCATTGTCATCGAATAATCCCTGGTTCACATTTTACACCACGTAAAATATAAAAAACAGAACACATAAGTACTATGGTAAAGGATAACAAAGTAATATAGTGTACTCACGTGGACAGACTCCTTTGTAGGTTGTTCTCTCAAAATTTTACACACCTTTTCAGAAAGTGTTTCCAGCATGTTTTTAATTTCAGTTACTTCAACTGTGAACTAGGTAGACAATGCTTCATGGTCCGATCGAAATTCAGACAATGCAACCTCAACCATAGACAATCTTTTGTCAAAATCCTACATAACACATTGAAGTGACACTCATGAAAAATATTAATAATAATGATTTGTATTGTTCTACCTCCATATATATCCTACATAAAGGTAACCTGCATGTTTTGAGAGTAAGAGACGCCTATTGTCCTCACTTTACTCCTCGCATCAGTGACTCTTCAATTGTAACCATGAGCTATGATAATCCAAATATTAGTTAATACCATACGATATATAAAGAATATCTTCCATTATGAATAGGGAAAACAATAAAACTAGAATTGAAGAGGATAATATCCTTCATAAGTTACTCCTTTTTTTTTTTGTAGCCGCCCAATTTTTTCAATGCAGTCATGCGCTGACCTATTTCTTTGTTCCCCCAAACTGCCATCTGAGGGAATGACCGTGACAGAAGTGGAATGTATGATTCTCCCGCTGGTGACATGCGCTCAAAATATAAAATTTGCAAATGGATAATGTTCAAGTAATTACTACAACTAGCATGAATAAGAAAACAGTATAATGAATTAGCAAATAAGTAAATAACGCAATACTTGTAGCACAATGATACAACCACAAATATTACACCTTGATTTTTCCTTGAAATTTTGTATGCCTTCAATAATACCATCATAAACAAATTTGCTCCAGTTTATAGAAGATAATGCATTTACATCCACAAATGGCTTGGCGTACGAACTATTAATTGTCATTTTCATGGTTGGGGAAAGAAGTCGGCCTATTATGAATAGAGCATATAGACGCCTAAAAGTAAATGAATCATACTTCAATTCTTTCAGTTTACCAACCAAAGTATTCAATGAGAGCTCCTTTTGTCCATTAAAAATTGATTTTTGAAGTTCTTATGTTTGGTTTGAAGAACCTACAGTGTCCAACTCACTGCCTGTGTTTGCCAAACCCCCTTATGTAATAAACATCCTCAGGGGAGAACTTAATTGATTTACCATGGACATGTAACACAGCTGTAGCGGGATCAAATTTTTTCACCAACCACTCATATAAGCTCCTCCTGACCACAATGCATTTCATGGTGGTCAACCCTTCTAAACCCATGACCTTCACTGCACGTTTCTAAGCATCAGTTAACCCATTTACAACTTTTATGATACTTGATGGCGAACAACGTGTACCCATTAGTATCTGAATATAGATGTAATGCATCAAACAAGATATCCAAACATATAAGTTATGTTATAATACAGAGATGGTCCATGTAATATATGTGTTCATATTACATACCATTCGTTTCCTCTTCGCAATAACACCCGAATTGCCACCTTGCGAAGATGCAGCGACTACCATCTTGTCAGTCATAATATTCCCAACTTCAACATCCGCTTTTCTCTTCATGGTTCAAATGTGCATATACCATAGAAATATTTACAAACAAAAAAACGGAGGCAATTGGTAAGAGAACTGTTTGTAAGAGAATTTAAATAATAGAGAGAAATAGAGAGAGATAGAGAAAAGAGATACAGAGATGGATAGATAGAGAGAAATAGAAGTACAGAAAAGATGCGAATTGGATTCAATTAATCTCCCTACAACCATATTCAGTTTTACTCAGGTATCTAACACATTTTGTAATAACTAATTGATGCACACGTGCGTTGCACGTGAACTGTATTATATAGTAAATCATATATATTAAAGTCATGAATCACAATTCAAAAAATTCACTTGTTTGGTAAAGATCGATAAATAATTAGCAAATAGCCACTAAACCCAATAAAAATACTAAAGAAATTCATATTTAAAGTTAGTTCAAATACATCATTCTTGATTCCATCCTTATATTTTGTGTCTATCAACATAATAAAGTAAGCACATTTACAAGAATCTTTATAGCAATGACAATGAATTACCATTTAATATTTGTGAATCTTTTTTCCCTTTGGTATTCTTTATTTTCTCTTCTAAGCTAGTGTGTACAAGCCCAAAAAGTCACTAATTGGTTTGGGATAAAAATAAAAAATGAACAAATCAAATTCTAGAGCAACATCAAAAATTAAAAAACTAATAATACAAGTACAAGTCAAAAGATTTTGTTTTTGGTTAGTAAATAGATAAACTAAATTAATCTAGAGATATTCCTGATAATAGAAAACTTCATTGAATACGAAAAAATCTAATTGGAAAAATGTAATGCATTGTCATAAGACAGCTAAAAAATAAAATTAACCCAATAACTAATTAACTACCATGGAATTCTTAAGTACATATAGAGAGATTGTAAACCAATCCTCTCTCTCTCTCTCTCCCTTTCTATCTGTATATGATGTGTTTGTGTTTATAGGTTTTGTTATAGTGGTAGGCAAAATTTTCCATAACAACTGCACTAATATCGGAAGTACGCCAAACACAATAAAGTAGCTCAATTTTCACAAGGAATAATTACGTATTTGATGGAGATTACACAACTTTCGTGCTAGTACATACAAATATGCATGTATATATCAAATCTCTAACTCACATTATCAATTAAACAAAACATTGACACAGGCAAAATTTCTCACTTGCTTCCATGGCCCTTCGGGCAGAAATGTTGGAGTCATTGATATGTAATTTGATGTCTCAGCTAAAACTAATGAAACAACAAATCTCTTTTGTAAAAACCTAACCACTCCAAAATTTGCAACATAGCATTCCTTCTACTTACACTAAAGTATTACAAGGAATGGACAATGCTCGTGTGCAAATTGATTTTGGTCCATTGTTTTCTAAGAAATTTTGCATCTCGCAAACTTGATCATCAGATGTCAACTTAACATGGACACTTTTCAGTTGATCAATCAAATGAAGGAATGTAACTAACACAAAAATAAGGTACAATAACTTCGTCTTATGCGATATTATTAAAATCATAGAATCAGTGAGAATATCATGAGTCATACACAAAGCTATAGTATAACCCAATCACGTTTGTTTTTCTTTGCTCGATCATGAATGACAAAGCTATAATATTCTCCATACAAACCACAAACAGTTTAAATCCTCACTATATTCACCCCCAAGTATTGTAGCAAGCAAATCTCACCAATTACTGAACCAAAACACATCTAAACATGGTAAATTTTATCAAAATCCAAATTCATCTCAAAATTCCACAGATCAACCTAAATTCAACATGTCGAATTCAAATTGACTTCAAAAAATTAATTTATAAACAAACCAACAGAAATTAATCAAAAAACCTAATTTTTCCTCAACGAAAACAAACCCAAAACAGTCAGTTGCAAACATACTTGAGAACCTAGTTGCAATTATCTAAACTATTTTGTAACACCCTAAAATTCTTGAGAAGCCCTGGTCGACATTATCATTTACAAATTTGGGTTTAAGTCTAATTGACACCAGACCCTAAAGGGTGGAGTTTGCGTGGTGGTGGGGGAAAGAATGAGGGGTGATGGCTGTGATAGTGGTGTGGGGCTGTGGTGATGGCAGATTATGGAGATAGAGAGAGAGAGCGAGAGAGATATATCTATGAAAGAGTTCTAGCATATGGGTCTCCGGAGTGGGTCTGTCAGTGGGTCTCCGGAGTGGGTTCGCGTAATGGTGGGGGGAGAGGATGAAGGGGTGGTGGTTGTGATAGTGGTGTAGGGCTATGGTGATAGTAGATCATCGTTGTCGAAGTGGGTTTCGTAGTGTTAGGGGAGAGAGACCAGGGAAGGGGCGGTGGTGTAGAGAGAGAGAAGGGGGAAATACATAAAGGGGGAAAGTGAAACAAATGAGAAATTTCCAACGGGAGTGGGTAGGTGATAGTTCCGTTTTAATGGAGTTGATTTACAGGAAGAAGTCAAAATTAGATTTGAACCCGCATGTGTTAACCCGATGTACGTCCAAGCCGTGTAATCAGAAATTGGTTATAGAGGATCCTAATTTTATGACCCGACCAACTCAACAGATGCATCTTAATTGCCATTAAATTACTTCATTCAATTAAGAAGTACATATCCCTACTATCAAATAATCTATTTATCATTTTCTTTAAACTATATCCAAAAATTTCCTAAAGAAGTCAACATACCCATGTTCTTTAAAACACTACAAGTGTAGGAAAGATGCGTATTGGATTCAATTGATCTCCCTAAAACTACACATCATTTTATTCAGGTATCAAACCTTTTGTAATAATGTGTGTACTATAATTGTGGTATATATACAATAGTTTGTTTATTAATAAATTATAGAAGTACTATATTGTGGTAAATATATGCAATATTGTATTGAGTCAATGAACAGATATTCTACATTATCAGATAAAAATTGTGTCAAAATTTAGCAAACATTTTATAACTCCACATATTTTTGTAATTCCATAGGTGGAGTAATGGCGGGTACGATCGTTGACAAAGGTAAATGTGTACTATTAGATCTTAATGTTGTCGTAACAAATGATAAGTACAAAAATCATATGCAAAATGATCAAACAATTTCTGATCATGGTGTCAAGGAAAATAGAGTCGATGGGTTGACAGTGGGTGAGATAATGCAAATGACGTTCAACACACATGAAGCGGCTGAGGAGTTTTATAACAATTATGCAAAATTTTTGGGATTTAGTGTTCGGAAGGATGACTTGAAGTGTAACAAAAATATCCTGTATCAAGACGACGGGTTTGTTCAAGAAAAGGTTATCGATCATCTAAACACCTTGACCGGAGTGACCGCATCCAGGAACCAAGAGGCTTAACAAGGGTGGGATGTAACACATCTTTTCGTATCAAGTTTGACAATGGGTTGTAAAGGAATTCGTCCAGGAACATAATCACCAATTGGTTACAACATGTGGTGTGTCATTCCTTCGATCGCATAGGCATGTGAAAAGTCCCGATAGAGAACAAACAAATGTATTGCGTAATGATGACATAAATACAAGTTAAGTAAGGAATTTTTTGGTGCAACAAGCAGGAGGTTATCATAATGTTGGGTTTACCATGAAAGATTTGTAAAATGATGTTGTGATAGAATGTCGATCTCAACTTCAAGACGGTGATGCGGAGGGGGCGTTAAACTACTTTAGTGGAAAAAAAAGAATCAGACCCTATGTTCTATTTCAACTACAGTGTCCATGAAGATAATTCACTAAATTGTTTGTTCTGGGCAGACTCATCCTCACCTATGCATGCTTCGGCGATGTCTTGGTATTTGATACCACATACCGAACTAATGCATATAAGAAACCTTTCGTTATACTTGCAGGTGTGAACAACCATAACACAACATCAATTTTTGGGTGCGCCTTGCTCTCAAATGAGACTGTTGCCACATACATGTGGGTATTGCATACTTTTCTTCATGTAATGGAGGGTAAGACACCTATTTCAGTTGTCACTGATCATGATAAGGCCATGGCAGGAACAATAGAGCAAGTTTTCTCCAATTCAACACACAGATTATGCAGGTGGCATTTGATAAGAAATGCATTGTCAAATATTAGTGCTGAAAATTTTGTTCAACAATTTAAACATTGTATGTGTGGTCGCTGTAGTCCGGAAGAATTTAAGGATCGATGGAAAGCGTTGGTGGATTCATTTGGATTGGAGAATAATAATTGGATATCAAAAGTTTATTCCAAACGGTCAAGGTGGGCTGAAGCATAATTAAGAGGTCAATTTAAAAAATATACAACGATGTGAGGGTATGAACTCATACTTCAATCATTTTCTGAAGACCCATCTCCGACTCTTTGAGTTTGTGAGGCAATACAACTGGGCTTTGACAAGGATCAGGGAGAATGAAGCAAATGATGACCATGATACCCAACACACATCCCCGGTGACAACCACACAATTATGGTGTCTTGAAGAGCATGCAACATCCATATATACAAGAAAATTGTTCTTCAAAGTGCACAATAAGTTGAAGTCCGAATCCATGTTCTTTGTAGTCTAAAAAATTGACAACGGGATCCATTGAAGTTACTACTTGTCTCACTACACGTAACCAGAATCAACATGGAATGTCATATGTTATCCTCAAAATTATAGTATGAAGTGCAACTACTTGAAAATGGAATCTATTGGTATTCCATGCTGCCACATCATAGTAGTACTAAAATATGAGCAAATTAAACGGTTCCCTCCAAGTCTCATTCTGAAGCGCTGGACTGTTTCTGCAAAGGGAGATTTAGGAAATGAGGATGTGCCGCCAAGAAGTAATACTCTGACAATTTTGACACGGTATGCTGGACTAGTGGCCATTTGTAGTCGTATGTGTTACTATGTTTCGCATGGTTACAAAACAACTCAGATGAAGACCAATCATGAATCCCTTGGTACATTGCATGGATTAATCTCTCAGATGAAAACCAATCATGAATCCCTTGGTAGAGTAGAAGAGACCTCTTCACAACACAAAATCAGGACTACTGAGTTAATTAAGTTTGGGGTAGCTGATCCACATATTGTTACAACAAAGGGACATCCAGGCCGTACACGAAATAATAATTCATTTACGTCTTGAAGATGTAGCAAGTGCAGGACAACCAGACATAATATTCGTAAATGTCCTTTGTTAACTACCCAGACTACTGATCCATATGAGGACATGCCCTTTTCACAAGCAGGTGGATCCTAGCAACCATTGCCGACTCAGGGTCCTTTTAACTCTTTTGCACATGTATGTAAACATGGGTGGAGTTCAATAACATCTTTATAACACAAAGTTCCCCTTGTATTTGCTGCTTTATAAGTTATCAAGCAATGCACCATTTAACTAACCACTCTTTATCGATAAATTGATTGTTCAGGATGGTTTTCATGACTTTCAGTCAAGTGGTCATGGACAATTTTTCACTCCACTTTAAGGGTTGTCCAGGTGAGCATTTTCATATCGCTGTGAAAGTTACATAATCAACGTTATTTAAATTGATTAAAAAATAGTTCAAATTTTTTACATAGTGTAAAACCCCCACTTTTGGACAAGTTTGATGTACGAAACTCATTTTTGAACAACTTTCATGTACACAAATCAGGAGTGCCAAACGTCTACAATTGCTATATGACCAACATGAACCAGGTGGGATTCACCTACAGTTATATTACTAATCTCATTTACATGTTTATTCTCTGCATGCTTGCCTATCCAATTGATCAATATGTTGATGCTTTTTTCTTCCAATGTATGCTGCTTTGTTGTTGAACTAACAAATATTATGCACGATTTCACTTGTGTGTAGTTGGTATTTTGGTTTGGGGAAGTATATGGAATTTTGGGGGATAAACAAAGATGGCTAAGAGGGAGGAACTACTGCTCTATACAAGGGTCATTGCTTTGTTGTATTACTCCTATCAGTGGAATGAGGTAACCTTATAGCAGTTATAATCTTTAGGGGTGAGGTTATAACATTTTGATAAAAGGTTACTACATGTTGATGTGAGGTTACTGCATGTTGATGTAAGGTTACTACATTTTGATGTTAAGAAACTACTGTAATGTTACTGAAAATAATGAATTTGTAAAAACTACTATTAACAACACCGTACAACAAAATATTTCATTCCATTGCCAAAAGATTTTGTTCAACAGAATTAATTACATTTTATAGGTTACAAGGTCGCCAAATCTAATATGGCCCAAAAGATTTACAAGCATATACACATTTCCATTCATAGGAATTTCTTCCACATAAAATCCATCAACATGTCTTTCCATACTCTTTAAATTCCTTGTAAAGTCCATTAATCTTACTCTCCAACTTTTCCAAAGATCCCTTCATGCATTCCTGAACAACATGCAACTGTGTGGCCAAACAATTTTGCCCAGTTACTATTTGCTCCAGCTTTTCTCCAATAGTATTCATGTTGAATGGACTGAAACTTGAACGTTCGCCCTCTGTCACAGTAATGCCCTCAATTTGGGAGTAAGACACCTGTGACATAGTCTTGGCACAATTTTTAGGCCCAACATGACCAACACTTTTTTTCATAGTACCCTCATTTATCATACACATGGCAGCAGTATACGATTCGCTAGGTTCAATCACAACCCCATAAACCTTCACAATATTTGTAATCAAAATAGGAAATGGAAGACGTCGCCTGTTATCCTGCAACTCATAGGCATTCATAATCAGCTGAAATATGCAATGGGGAAGGTCAATGCATGCTCCTTTACCAATCGCACATAGAAATTGAGCTCTATCATATCCAAGTTCAGTTGTATATCCTTTGGGATCAATGTTACAAACAACTATTATGTTTAACATCCTATAAGGCAAACGAAGGTCTTTCTGATAAATTTTACTATTCTCATCCACCCATTCGATAGCAACATCACAAATTGTCTCAATAACCGTTTCCATGCTAGGGACTTCCTCTTTACTTTTGTAAGGAAATACAATGGTATTCTCAGTGATGACAGGCCTGGGAACTTTCAACATTTTTGAAATAAAATCAGGGGAAACTTCTATTTCTTTACCCCTAATTACAGACTTCAAAGTGTACCCAACCTTAGCAAAGTCATGTAAATTTGTATAAAACAATCTAACTACATTGCTATATGCCTTATCATCCTTCTTAACATCAAAGATGTTCTCCCAATTACGACCTCCAAAAAACTCAGGACACTCGGTATTAACTAACTCACCAAGTGCAACGCCTCGTTCCACTAACAATGGCCAATGACAAAACAGGTTTCAAACAATGTTTTTGCTTCTTAATTCAAGAAACTAGTGTCACCTTTTGAACTCTTACTTGTTTCACCATCCTTTTTTTTTCTGGGCAGTAACGACTTGCTTAGTTGTCCTATTCATTGTCTTCCTCTTCTTTGTTGCTCCAGCTGTTCCTCCAACCATATCAATTTAGAAGGGATTACAACTTTTTTGATTGAATGTACATAGGACCCATATGTTAAGGAGTATAGTCGATTGGGGGTATGTAGTGTTCATACTTTGTTCAAGTAAAAGGGGGTTAGGGTTTGGGAGAACTGAGTAATGGCGGGGTAATACATCTGCAATGGGTATCGATAGCACTTAAGGTGCAAAATGACAAAAAAATCCAACAGCAATTGCCTTATGCCCATCTATTTACATCAGGTATTTTTTGTAATTTCATATCTTTTATTCGAATCGAATTTAATGTATTTTGTATTGAACAATTTATGTTGATTAATCGTAATTTTATTGATCCATCACAAACCATAATATTATGTTTATTATTTTGAATTTTTTTCGATAGTAAATTATCATATTTTTAATGATCGATCTACCATTATTAGATCGATTACAAAATATTTAGGGCTCGTTTGGTTGCCGTATTAGAAATGGATTGATTAGATAAAATAATTCGGTCTAATACAATACAGAAGGACAAAAGACAAGACTAAATATGGTATTAGAATAATACATAATTTTATCTAGTATTTGGTAATACACAACATAAACGTTGGCTAGTAATTATTTAATCCAATCGGTTGTTTGGTTAAAGAATTATTTTATCGTATTAATATTGAATAAACAAAAATACCCTTAATTATTGTTTGTTACATTGATGACAGTTTGATTTTATCAGTTAGAAGGTTATAATGGTAAATGTGTAAAATAATACGTTTGAGTTGTATTTTAATACCACCTCTTTTGATGGTATTAAAATACCTCCATAATACAGATCTAACGTATAAAAAATATACGATAAAGATACGATAAATATACGTTTTTGAAATTAATACGGTGTCAAATTTATTTACCAAACAAAATATTAGGTCCGATTAAATAAAAAATAATACAATCTAATATTTAATCTCCTCATAATACGTCTACCAAACGAGCCCTTAGTGTCTTATCAACCACAATTTATTGGTTCGATCACATAACATTTCACTCCTTCATAAATCTAACATATTTATAAAATGATCAATCATAAAACTTATGCTCGATCATTTTAAAAGTACACTGATCGATCAAAAATATACCTACTGTTCCCCAGTAACCATCACCTTCATCCATCTTGTTTTAACTCATTTTAAAAAATTGATCGATCATTTAAGTTTATGATCGATCATAATATTTTTTCCATCACACTCCTTTTGAAATCGAACATAATTACCTTTTCAAAAAAAAAAATATAATTACTAATTTGATCGATCATAATTATAATGATCGATCTTTGTTCTACCTAGTGTTACCCCCCACCCCCACCCCCCAACCCCAACCCCAACCCCAACCCCAACCCCAACCCCAACCTTCATCTTCTATCTATTGTTACCCATCTTGTTGTACTTCAAAAGTAAAGTTCAATCGATCATTGTAAATTATGCTCGATCAAAATTTATTTTCAACTTGCAAGAACCTTTTAGCCGGTTGCCCTTTTATGCATTTCTTTTTTTCTTTTTGTGTTTTCATCTTGTAAGGCCCACAGATTTTCAGTACGGTACCAAATTTTGACCAGCGGTACCGTAGCCTTCCCGTAAGAATGTGTATAGAAGATCAACCCATCTTCATTTCACCACTTAAGGATCTAATCCAATGCTACCGATTTGAAGATTTTAAATATAGTACTAAACTCTGACAGATGATTATGTAACTGACTACATATCTCATACTTTCAAGTTTAGTACGTATTAACCTTCCGTTAAGTTTAGTACGTATTAAAATAGTTATTGCAAATATAAACATTCTATAAAAAAAAATATATAATACTAACTCAATGAATCAATGGCGAAAGTCTTTATTAAATTATGATCTAATATCACTACTGTTCAAGCAAATCTCAAAATTATATTATGACCCATTGGTGTTTTAATTTTGATGCACTGAGTGGGGTGGTTCAACAAGGTACCGATCGAATTTCTGATTCTGAAGTTGTAGGTTCGAATTTTGGAATTTATATTAGGGTTCAGTGGTTGATCGTTATGATAACTATATTAAGTTCATTCCTGAGACGAGTGCATGGGCACAGTTAGAGGCCTCATGATCCCATCACTGAAAATCTGTCGAGGTGATCTCTGTGCTCTCTACTTTGCCCCCGTCCCTTTTCTAATAACTTAAAAAAAACTTTTTATGTGATGATGACATGACATTTAATGCATGATTGATAAGTGTAGGGTCCTAATAAATGTTTAAGTTTTTATTACGAAGAACACACACAAGTGAATATATATATATATATATATATATATTTCGGACATATTTTATTCAATATCATATTATAGTCGGAAGAGCTCAAAAAAACCAATAAACTCAAATCCGATCATCACCTATTTTGAACATATTTTAACTAACATGATACTACAATCAATATGTGCCCTCTATCATAATTGATTGAACGATATCAGTTCAATTTTATAAGGATAGTATTCAAATGATGCTGGAAGTGAATAATACATAGTCAAATTCGTATCAATTCGTTTATTGAACGGATTTGGCTAATCAATTCATTCTATTTGTGAAAGACTAAATTCATAACCATTACCTAGTAATTTTTTTTGTCTATTTCATATGAGTAACAGCTGGGTTTCATTAGACAACATTACACTAAAGCAGCCAAGTGTGCACAAAATGCAATACAGAATGCCCACACTAGCACACTTGCTGGTATCAGGCCACACTTGCCTCCTTACACCACAACCTGACTATTGTCCCACCTCCAAGTGAATTGAAGATGGATTGCTTTGCTCATTTTTCCAAAGTAGCTTTAGAGAAAAAACTCTCTAATTGTTGTAACTGAAGTTGATTTCATAATGTAAATTTCTACCTTAACCAACTGTATCTTTCCATGTCATGCCTTCATTAATTTTCAGTAACCGGTAAGTCTTGCCCTTGAAGACAAGTACAACACAATATCATCATCTATCACTTATATCTGCGACTTGAACAATGATTAAAAGTTTGAATCCAAAAGGGTTGGGGCAAAACCAAATGGTCCCTTTTACATCGCAAAGTATGAAAACTTGATACATTCGAAGGTAGAAAGAGCATAAACATTAAATATCTGCATTATCTACAATATTAGTATGCAAATCAACAAACAATTGAAAGCAGCACATTGTTGTGTTGAGCACAAAAATTGTACCATTTCTATTGCTTGAATGTAGTATAATATTGTAAACCCAGTACTGCAGTGTCATCATCCCCAATAATATGATAAGACAGTAACTGATTAGGTCAAGCCACCGATTGCTACAACTGCATCAGTTCCAGAAACGCATTTGTCTTCAAGAAGTGGAATAGTCTTCCAAACCGTCAATTTGATTGGAGCCTTGTATTTGCCTACAAGTAATGCAAATACGATTTTCAGCATTAGTGTCTTAGTATAGCGATACTTCCTACTTGCTAGAAAGATACATATTCTCACCAGGGGTACCATCCATTTCCGTGCAAATGGCAGCATAATGAGAACCTGCCAATTCCAAGAGTGCAAACTGCCAATTGCTTGTAAGGATGGTAGAGTCATCAAAAGACTCGACAACTATTTCAGAGGCCTGAAAGTATAACCAGGATATTAGAAGGAAGGAATTTACTTGATATTGGTCGGCATATTAAGAGAAGAATTTCAAGAAGCTAAAACATACAAAAGGAAGCATGTACTAAAACCAATTTTAAGCATTGTATGTTTAGTGCTAAACACTTTATGTCAATGAAGCAATATAACTCATTCCCACTGTGTGCTGTCATGTGCCGGAATAATGGAGCTCATCTCCTCAGTGCTCGCAAGTCTTCACTTCTATCGTGGCAATGACAAGTCAGGCATACCTACCTGGACCTGAACAGACCAGTTGCCCGATCCACCTAATAGTCACTGGCATAAGCATAAAAAAGTGCCTACTGATTGGATTCTTTGAAACCTCATGACATGGCTACTTGAAACAAGTACATTACAGATCACAAGTTGTAGAAACTACATCAGAAAGATAGCAGATCACAAGTTGTAGGAGATTAGGTATTTCATAATCCAATTCCAGTTAAAGGAGGTTTTGTGGCATACCATAAATTTTAGATTACCAGACGGATGCAAGTTCCCTGTCTTGGTAGCCCTAAACTGAATAGCAAAGGTCTTGAAAGGGGCACCTGAGAAGCCTCTTCCCAGTGCTTTGACGTATGCTTCCTGGAACCGATTTATCTTTCAGAAAGAAGGCTTTGAGAAACATATAAGAAAGATACGAGGCTTTCCCGACAAATTTATAGAGTTTCATTTTAGTAAATTAAACCTGAAAAATTATGCATTGCAGGCTGTTCTTTTGTTTTTTTCCAGTAAGTAGCCAGCTTATGTTTAAATTAGTTGAAAGTAGATATGCACAATTTAAGATGGATTCAGAATGCAAGTTTCGAACCACAAAGTCAGCCTCCCATCTGAGGCTTTCATGGCTTTTTTAGCAGATTCTTTCACAGCAAATACGTTCCAAGTAATGGCACATTTTTTTTTCAGATCAAACTCTGCATTGACAACTATAAACTGCATGCCTTTTAGCCAAGAAAATTTTTAATCAGAGCAGGCATCAATTATCCAAGAACTTGAGCTGACCTTAAGGGTCCATAATTTTATGAACTCCTGGCGCTGAACCTCCAGGTCTGAAATAGCAGTTAAGAGTTCCACTTCATAGCAAGAGAAATATCGCCGGGCAAAAGCCAAGATATTGTTCTTTGTTTTCCGTTGCTTTTCTTCCACATCAATACCAATCTATAGTCAGAAAGTTGAACAAGATTAGTTTACCTCAAGGAATAACAGCCAAAATATACAAGTCAATTTAGGTACCACATTAGCTGAAATTTTATGTCGCCAACGTAAGTAATCAGAGTACTAACTTGAGAATCCAGGGTCACTCCACAGGCTATCAATGAAGAAGTGTGTGACAAATTGAAATGCAATGGTGGTGGGTTCCAATCATCACTGTGCTGCCAGTCTACCTATAAATGTATTCCACTATAGTGGTTTTAAGGTATACAACTCCAAAAAATATAAAAGTAAAACCAAGAAATTTCATGAGCAAACAGATCGAAAGTCCACTAACATCTCAGAGTGTAATACACAAACTAACCTCAGGCTTTCCATGGATGTTTTTCCTAAACTTCAAGGATCTGGGATTAACTTCAGGATTTGTCTGATCTAGGAAGAAACAACATTATTTAAGCTATCTCATTACATATTTCAGAAATGCCTCAAACATAGTATTTGCAATTATATTTCAGAAATGTCTCAAATACAGTATTTCCAATTACATTGGCGCTTTAAACTCAATATTCTATCCCTTGGCTGGAACCGTTGTCTTTCTCAGAACAACCAGATTTGCTATGCGAGTGTAATAACTCAGAATGAATATTAACTGCAAGCTTTTTTGATGTCAAGAGGGAGCTTATTTTTTGGATCAAAATTAATAACTAACAAAATAAAGCAAAAATTCCGATGAAATGATTATCAAAAAAAAAAAATTTCATACATCTTGCAATGGTAGTGCGAACCAAAGCACGTGCAAGCAGAGCTCGTTTCCTCAGCTCCTCTCCACGCATGCTAAAAACATATTCTTTCTCACATGGTGATAGAAATTCTAAATATTGATCTATCAGGGGTTTTCTCTTCACTTCATTGGGTAAAAGATACCATAAATGGGTTTCCCTACAATTAAAAGAAAACTTTTTTCAGTACATTTAAAGATCAAAACAATATGCCATAAAAGCACTATGCAGGCAGAATATATAAATTATCTATCTAATATTATAACTAAAAGTTAAATTCTCAACTTATAAAAGCAGTTAAATTCACAATAGCGGTCAAGATTGATCAAAATCTCATCAACTTTGATCCAATTGTACAAAATTCATCAAAATAACTTTTTTCACACTCAAAAACATCATTTTCTAGGTCAGACAACTCAACTAACACACTCCCTAATGTTAAACAACTTCATTAATCCACAGCAATCTCTCTCTTTTTTTTTCTATCTGTTCACTTAAATTTTAAATTGGGTAATTAAAAAAAAAATTAAAAAAAAAAATTGTGATCATGTTCGATATTTGGTAATACAGAGTGTCTAACACCGAGCAATTACTAGTATATATATAATAAGTAAAATTTCTGCAACAACATAGAAGCGAAAAGAGGAGCTATCGCATCAATTTTCACAATTTACCATATCGAACATCAATGCAATTAATTGCATATCACCCGAAAATTAGAACAGATTTCATATAAATAAACCACATGATTGACAAATTAGCAATCAGAGAATCCATAAAGGGATCGTACGTTGGAGATGGAAGTTGTACAGGGACCAGAGGGGGTAAAGAACTAAATAACTTCCCATCAAAGCAATGTAACTTCATTCTGAAACTTTCTCTGCGCAAATGTGTCCACATTCGTGCATGCCCTCCACTGTTCTATCTTAACTTCGCTCTCACAAGAAATCCTGTATCAATCCAAGAAACAAAGTCCGCTAAGAATTGATACATTAACGGAAATTTTAGGTAATTACGAATGAAGTGAAATTTGTTTGTTAGGATTTCATACCGTTCAAACGAGAAGGAAAACGAGCAGCTGAGCTCGCTCGCTATGAACACTATGTCTCTGTGGGTGTGTGTGTGAGAGAGAGAGAGAGAGAGGATTGGAGGTACGGTGCCGTTTCGAGAATGAAGAAGAACTGTGGTCTTCCCGTCGGAGTGTTGTTAATGTCGTCGGCTTTACAAGGGAATCAGACTTTGTAGCCAAAAGATTTAGGACATTTCACACTTTGTACCCTTAAACTTTTTAAGAATTTTATTTTTTACCCTTTAAAGTTAAATTTCTCATATTATACCTTAAATATATTAAAAATATTGTAATATGGTCTTCTGTTAGCTTCCGTTATTTTCTGTCAAAATTAAACTCATTGACACTAAAAACAATACTAATGAAAAGTTAAAAGAAATGTCACAATGCTACATTTTTAATATATTAAAGATATAATATAAAAAAGTTAATTTTTGAAAGTACAAAGTGATAATCTTAAAAAATTTAAGGTGCAAAATATAATTCCCAAAATTTAAGAATTTTTATTTTACATTTTTAAATATTAAAATTTGTATATTATAGCATTAATATATTGAAAGTATTATAATATAATCTTTCATTATTTATTCAGTCAAATTCATACCATTAACATTGACAAAATTAACAACAGAAGTTAACGGAACGATGATATTATAATAATTTTAATATATTAAAGATATAATATAAAAAATTTAATATTTAAAATTATAAATAAGAATTTAAAAATTTTGAAATAAAATCTTTAAAAAATTTAATCCATCTATCCTCTAATGGAGTATTGATGCACTGCTCCTTCGTTCAGGTATATTATATTTTTTTTCTTTATAGTCCCTCAAAGTGGATCAAGTGCATATTTATTTTTTTTTCCTTTTTCCTATTTTTCAAAGGATATATGTTGCAACCATCTAGACAATTGTTAATAGATCAAATTCTGACCCGAATTCAAGTCCGATTAATCGAATACGGATTGATAATTTTTATTGATAATCCAAATTCAAATTCAAATTTGATATATTATATTTCGTGAATTCGGATTTGGATATACCTATATATAATCTGATTTGAATTATTTATATATTCTTATATAAATATTAAAGAAACTAAGTGATTATTTAAATAAATTTAATTTAAATTTAGGTATAATTTATTAGTTAATTAAGTTATTTGAATCAAATTAAAATTTGGAATCGGATTTCGAATTATTAACAGATTCAGATCAAATATGGACCATGAAAATAAAATTTGTCAGATTATTAGATCGGATTCAGATCAGACTTTAAAAATCAGATTCAAATTTAAATCAGTCAAAATCCAATCAAAACCCGATCCGGCCTAACCTTTGATAGAAGCTCTTTTTTTTTTTTTGAAGCCAGATATAAGCTCTTTCAAATGCACCCTCCTTGAAAAATCCAAATCTGAGAGTGGCTCCTATGGCTAAGTAGTTGCAAGTCAATTTTAACCTACACAGAGCCACTCTTTACAATTATTTCTTGTAATTGCCGTGACAATCTACTTTGGCTCATTCCCATGGGAGATTAGATTTTGGGTAGTAAATGTTGCTCAAATAGAGTATAGCAGTGATATCATGAACATGTAAATGAGGAACTATCTGATGTTTTCAACTGTTGGCAAGACATAAATCTTTCATGCCTTGCACATTTTGTTCACTCAAAACAACCATTACTCTTTAGAATTGTGTTATCATCGCTACTTTTTGGATTATTTGGAAGGAGCAGAATGAAAGTGCAGATGGAGTATGGGATTGCACTCATTTTTTAGCATCGTTTTGGGCTGTGGTTTCAAAGGAATATGCTTTTTTTTTTTTATTTAAACAGGATGAAGAGTTTCATGTGATTTATAGGCTTCTTTACAGAACAGCAACAGCCATTGTATGGTCAGAAACACTGCGCTTAGTTAGACTCAGGAAGCCAACCAGTTAACTGAACTCTTCACACACACCATTAGGAAATGAAAAATGCAAACCACATTCGAGCAGAGTTTCATATCATTAAAAGTTACACAAATGCATTTAAACAAACAAACTTGAGAAACCTCATCCAGAAACATACATTAATGAACCATTCACACCCCAGTTTAGTCCCCGTTAACAAGTTTAGGAGGGGAAGGCTGAGTACCAAAAGAAAAACAAGGCACTGTCATGTTCCACTGGCCAGAAAGTACCTCCACTCAACCCCACTCCAATGCAAAATACAATGCCTTACTGCCAGGCTTCAATAAGTTATGTTCTTGAATTTAAACGACTAGTAATGCTGCAGGTAAGGCTTGGTTTGGTTGGTTGGTAGGTAGTAATGCTGCTGGTTTCCTTGCTCTTTTCTACATGCCCAGCTACACGAACCACAAGATGCTCATGAAGTTTTCTGGATCCTTTCCTGAGATTGATGGTACTTGACTGGCCAGTTTTGATTCTACGAATTCTAAGTTGAGCCCCTCCACTTCCCATGATGGCTCTTCCTTCAAGTCCATCCTTCATTGCATCAACTTCATTTGAAACTTCACCAGCGCAATTATCAACCGGTTTCCCCTTTTCACCAGGAATGATGTTCTCAATAGAAGTGAGAAAACCATGAGTTTCAGTGTCTGTTTTTGAGTGACCATGAGTGGGGTGAGCCGGGCTTTCTGAGAGTGGTTCTTTGGCTACAAACGCCTCCTCGTCTTCCTTCACCTCATCACGCCGTTCAGTTAGTGGTTGCAGAGAGCTATGTTGTCCAATTTCATCCAACGGCTCTAACTGGTATATAGGACCTGGTTCTACTGTGGAGTCTTCTCTTTTTCTTAATGTTTTGACAATAAGAGTCTTGAGAAAATTCATCACTTGGACTGCATACATCAATGCAGTCAAAGGATCCGACATCTGCAATCAGCATAATTGTTTAGGCTTTCATTATACCCTAAGACTGAACAGATAGCATGATGAAAAACAAATCTTAGTGGAAAAGTACTTGAGTTAATTGAAGAACATACCCTTAATTGAAGGAAAGGATTTGTGCCCACAACCAACAAGTGGGTAATTGGGTGCCAGATTGTGATAAAGAGTAACAACTTTAACACAAGCATCTTATCATGAACATTTTGGCATACTTTAAGGGGGGTCTCTCATCATCCTAGTCGTTTTCTTTTCGCCATAATATCACCAATGCTAATGGTGGGTGGGTGCCTTTTAACTTTCTCCCCGGATAAATGAGTCTTTATCCTTTTTTCTCTCAGTCAATTCCATATTCTATTCCATTTCCCAGATGTTAATTTCCTTTTCATTCTCTATGAAAGATGGATAAAAGGAAAAAGGAACTGGGGAATCACTATTAAAGCACAAACCATGCGAGGCCTTCCCCCCCCCCTTCTTTTCACTTGATGCAAAAGAATAGCAGTGTGACTTGTGCATGTTTCTGTGGAAAAGCACAATTTTTCCACTCACCTGAGTCATGTTTGGTGCAAACACCATAGCTACATTGCGTGCATTCATTTTGTTCAGATGTTCAAGTTGAGCAACATCGGCCATCAGGTTAATTGCCCAGTCCAGCAGACCAGTTTCGGTTGGTGGTAGGAGTTGCACAAGCTGAGCACACTCCTCTTCAGATTGGGCCTGCATGACCAGCTCTGGCGAGAGCGAGTCCAACACCCCATTTGGTAGTTCTCTAAACCAAGCCTGCAGAAACACCAACTCTATATTTATGGAAGATGTCGAATAGTTGCTCTTTGAAATTACAGCATGATGGAAAGTTAAAGTCTTTCCACTTTTAGAAGAATACAGGTTCTCTTCATATTTCACTACAGGAGTCGACTCCAAATTCAAGGATTTTTCCATCTCGAAAGCAGCACATATCAATCAAGAGGTACAAATCAGGAACGCATACCTGGACCCATCATTAAATTCAGCTAGCCATATAATTTTCTTTGTCACTAGTTCTAATTCTCTTGAGGTTAGATTTTTATAATTTACCACATAGTGGACACGCATGTTGTAGTAAAAACACCCAACTTGAGGCCAAGCCAAATTCTAAATTTCATTCTTACAAATAAGGTTCATTGGGAACTCATCGATCTGAGACTCTGAGTAGTTTCCACAGACAGTAAAGTACAATATAAGGTGCAACAGATGAGCAACAAAGCCTTGTCTTAGCTACTTGAGGTCGACTTCATGAATCCTTTTTCATGATTGATATGCCATCTAAGCAGAATACATATAGTACAACGGCATCTGTTACAATCAGTTTTCCATAAGTTTCGGATCCTCACTGGAGAAGAACCTCAGTCGCACAAATTGTGTAAACCTAGCTTATTGAACATATTTCTAATTTCTACAGAAACTTAGAATATTATTAAAATTTGTATTGTTGGCTATACAAATAAAGTTGTGGTGTTACTTTTACATTTGGAACGTCCAGTGAGGTCAAAAAGCCCCCAAAAGGTGGCACTTTCTGCTTTGGTTATAGTCAAGGGTGAAGTTCATCAGTAACTGGTAATGATGCTTAACTACTACATACATAGGCAACCAACATCCTGACACCAGGATATGCCACCGATGACGAAATCTATGAAGGCTTTTGAGATTAAGTTGTGAAGAATTACCTTTATGAGACCTGATAAACAGTGCAAATCAATGTCATCTGGTACCACTCCCCTATTTAGTTGTTCCCTAACATACTCTTCTTGGCCATTCTCAGGATTAATTCTGAAAATTCCTTCTGCCTGTAAGTTGAAGTTCAACAAATTAATTTTGCTAAAGTTGGACAGTCAAAATACTTTTTGTGATAACCTATTAACAGCAAGAAGTTCATAGATATCAATAGACTATGTCTATGCTCAAAGCATACATTTTTTGTCATATATAGAAAGAATGTGAAGAAAGGACTTGTAGTCACACACCTGAAGACCCCCTTGTGCATACAAGCGTCCTTGCATCATCAGAAGTATTGTAGGAATGCTGTTCCCTCTGGAGTCAAATGAAAGCTGCATAGACTTTGTCGAAACTCCAAAAACACTTGTACTGCATAAGAAGAATTTTCCAGTCAATTGTTGATTATGTTCCAAGCATGGTCATTGTTGTGTTAGTCATACCAAGGTGGCTACAAAGAATTGAAAACGAGGACCTCAACATATTTTCTTGGGCAATGGAAAAGGACTAAATTAAGGTTGAAGTTTTCAAAACAGAAGTGTGAGCCAAGAGGGTTGATTTCCATTTAGAAAGATCTATATCCAAGAAATACCAATATGAAGATTCTATTCCAACCCACAAATTCCAATATTTTCCGAGTTCCTCTAGATCTTAATCAATAACGAATTCTTCATGAACATGTCCTGTATGCATACGCATTATAAACTTCCACTCACAGCAGTATTTGTTTTCCAATAAATCATCAAATTGACACTTAATTACACTGCAAGGTTGCTGATAATTCGTTCCAAAGACAGGATGATAAGTTCTTCAAAAACTAGAGTGAACTTTTCGCAATGGTAAATTAAAGTAAGGTAAAATAGTACCCAGAGGCAAATGATAGCACAATGGTATGTACCTGACTGTTGTTTGGAAGCAAACAGAACCTTGTGATAGAACAAAATACACTTCATTGAAAGTAAGACTTAAAGGGAAAGGTTAATATAAGACTTAAAGGGAAAGGTCAATATAAGACTTCAAGGGAAAGGCTAATAAACATTGGTTTCCGAAAATTCAGCAAGATGTTACTCAGAAATTTCTGTAAATGTAAATGCAAAACATTAAGTAGAGAACTACTCTTTGATGCCCAAATAACCCTATAATACCAGTTTATTCTTAATAAAGTCATGATCTTTTCTAGAATCAGATATCAATTTCTATAGCTGTAAATACCTAACAGCTAAAAATAGAGAATTAGCCTTTGGTGCCCAAATAACCCTATTTTCCTAGCTAAAAAGTTTATTCTCTCTCAAGGCATTGTCTTGTGCAGAATCATATCAATTTCTATTAACTGTAAATGCCAAAGAGAAAATAGAAAAAATTACCCTTTGTTGGCTAAATAACAAAGAGAGGGAAAAAAGAAGGGACAAAACATGAACTATTTTTCAGAACTCAGAATAGAACAAAATCATAGGTACACTCATAATGAACCCATCATCAAAACCACAGGAGAAAAAAACTGACCTGGCACTTGGAGGCCTCCTTGGAACTTCAGGTTCAAACTCAACAGGTAGACCAAGGAAGCCATTGAAGCGATCAAAGGTGACATGGGCAATATGTTTGACATTTGAAGGCAACCCAATCTCCATTGAAGAAGATAGCTCCTCAATTCTCTCACTCCTACAAGAAACCAGAGATTTCCTAAACACAGTCACCAAAACTGCCAACAGAGACAGCTGATCTCCCTCTTCCCTCCCTCTCCTCTTTCTTTCTCTACCACCACCACCACCCTCTTCTTGGTTATTTTCTTCTACCTCTGTATCTCTCCTGCGTACATCTCCAGAATACGAAGCGGGACTGCTAATAAAGGTACCGTTGTTTAAATGGGTCTGTTGGTGTGACCCATCATTGTCTGACGATTGTACACATGTTATAGAGCTTGAAGATGAAGACAACTGTGGTGGTGATTGTACTATTCCTGTCATTTTTGCTAATATTTATACAAACAATTTGGTTTTTTTTTTTTTGGGCTAGAGGAAGGGAAAAAAAGGAAAGAATTTGGTGGGTGTTTTCCTTTTTTGTGATTTGTGTTTGTTGGTGGGTAGACTAGTGGATTACACAAGAGAAATAGAATAGGCAAATGGGTATGAATGAATGCTAGACTTTGAGTAGAGTTTGATCCAAGGAAAGGGCTTGGAAGGTGAGAATTGAACATCATAATTCATTTCTTTCAAATGCAGATATGCTTTTTGTATACATATCTTTTCTAACATATATATGCATATATGCAGACATGAGACATTAGGTACACATATTTTTCAAGGCTAGCTGGTTTTAATTTTCTGAAAAAGACCAAAAAGGCTGGATTGCTTAGGTTATGCAAGGTTTGGCAAAGAACTAATACGAGTTGAGACTTCAGAGAGAGAGAGAGAGAGAGGGAGCAGTGTTTCTTGTTCTTAAGTAAAAAAACTTGGAATCCAAACTAAGCCTTTCTTACAATCCAAACAAAGATTGTTTCAGCATTTGATCAGGACCAGTATTCTAAACAGGACCCACTGATTAAACCCATTTGTTAATGAGCTCATGTTCACATTACACATGAATGATGCTTTTGCTATGTATCTATTGTTAAAGAATTCCATAAATATTAAAGGGGACCTCCTGGACTAATTATATAATTATAGCTGTATAATGACAGGTTAGCTTGCTTAAAGCCAGTGGACTGGTACAGTTGTAATAGACTAGTGGGGGACCAATTGGGATACACCCAAGTCCTAGTTCTATATCCCCAAACACAGGCAATCTTAGATGAAGTGAGGTCTACTTTAATACTAGAAAATTGCCATATATTGAGCATGCTAGTGGCTAGATCTTTTATTTTGGGGGTTTTGATGTTCATTTTAAGGCATTGGTAAGTGCATACGTCAAGATAGTTCAAGTAGTAACAGAGATGAACTGTATATGTAAACGTTTTAGATTTGAATCTTGACAATTCATTGGGATCAAGTTATAAGAGAATGAATATGAATAAAGAGGGAATTAATCGAGACACAAGACAACCCGAAAAAAAAAAAATTGGAATCCCATCTTTAAAAACCGTGTGTTGCAAAACCCCTGTGAAGCAATAAGAACTGTTTAGGCTTTTCTATACCCTAAAAAGTCAACTCTAGATGATGCAAACACATTATAGTTTTAATAAAATATGAACAAAATAGGTATTTTATTTGTAAATATAATTGACAAATAAAGTGGAGTGGAATTAACAAATATACATATTTCTTGTGGGGTCCCAGATGACAAAAGAAGGACAAAAAAAAAAAATGGTTGTCTTCAAGATGAGAGCTTGCTGCTTAACTTTATACTATTTTGTTTTCTTCCCTATGTTTTTATTTTTAAATTTTAGTTGACTACAAATTAGATTCCAAACTATTTCGTTATATTGGACCATTGGATCATATCGCTGCTATATTATTAGATTAACAAATTAAGTTAAATTTTTAAGTCTCGATAGCGTTATTAGTGACTTTAATACCGGGAGAACGGTGAAAAAACACAAACTAGAAGAGAACCCAAAAAGGTTAGATTGATTGGCTAACCAATATTACTACATTGGAAATTCTTGAATCTAAGGAACTACACATATTCGGATTATATTCTGGGGTAAAACTATAATATTGTAGAGTTACCATGCTAAAACTTAATTTGGAATATTAGTTTTGATTTAAATAACCTGTAATTAATGATTGAAAAAAAATAAAAATAAAAATATACACATGACACATTTTTATTAGATAAACACATGAAATATAACATTAAAAAAATGACATTTTGAAGCCGTAATCCATGTTTAATTCATGAGTCTTTCGATATTCGACCATTAAATGGTAATAAAGACGAACCGTAAACTCACACTAAATTCAAATCTTGTAACTCTTGGGGGCCAAGACACGAGAAATTTATCCCTCATATATATTTTAGTTTTGGCGTAAATGATATATTTTTGACCAAATTAAAAAGAGAATTAATTAAAATATGTGTAAACCGACCCGAACACTTTTGATTATTGAACAAAAAAATAATAATAATAATGCAACTAAACATGTGCCATTTTGTACATAAAAAGATTTGATAAGAAAGTTCAACACTTGTCATTTCTCTGCCTTGTCCCTCAGATAATGGCCTTTTGTTCCCATCCATCTGGAGATTGTAGTCTTGTTACACATACCACAACGTACATAGAAAAAAGGATAAAGCAAAAATAGCTGCCGGCTTAGCTTTTGGAGAGAGAGAGAACTCCCACAAGTTTTTTGCATATACCCGTTGTGAAATGATAAGAGTTTTACTGTTTGAAATTCAAAACTGAACGGAGCGGACAGCTTTTCCAACTTTTCCTTTTCAAGGAATTGGTATTTGGTAGCTCAACCCGGAAAATAAAAATAAGAGGGGTTATACTCTATGCTTCAAAGAAAGCTAATTTTTGGTACTATGCCGTACTTTTATATATCCAATTGAAACATGGCAATACATTTGCCAAAAAAAATGTCTTCTTACATCGTTTTATATGATTACTAGGGATAATCCGTGTTTAAAAAATACGGTACAATGTGAATAATTTTAAGAGAAATATTTGTGACCGTTGGATGAATCTATTTGAGACCATCAGATAGACTTATTAAAACTTATCATGTTTTATATTATTGATGGACTTTTCTGAAAATACTCCAAGATGAAGACACGTGTCCTCGGCGTCACTAAAAATTCTGTTAACTGAGATCACATACCGTCGGCTTTACAACTCCCTCGCCCGAGGTACTTGACACGTGTCGAGTACGTTTTACGTGCCGACACGTATCCCTCGGTCTGGTATGGTACCTCGGTCATCATGTACGGCTTCCCTCGGCTTGAGATTTACCTATCCTCGGTACCGAGATGTGCATGTCCTCGGTACCGAGATGTACTCCATCCAGGATGTCTTTTTCTCTGCTCCAGTATAAGTTATTGATGTACAGGTCATTAGCCTAGGCTAGTCTAGGTTAGCTATTATGGTCTCGTCTTACACAATTAGTGTCAGAAGGAACAGGAAGGCAGGGTCCACAGCTAATAAGGGATGGACGCGTGGCAAATTGTGTCACATCAGAGACAAAAAGACCGCATGCCCTTACTGACACGCGACTTGGAAAACAAACATTTAATTACACCATTCCCTTGATGAGACCGCATTCAATGCGGTAAGGCTCGAAATTGAAAGACAATAAATGTCTCTAAGGCTGGACATTTATTGCATCCTCCCCGAGTGGAGATCATTAGACAGTCGGCAGCCCGATGACACAACATTGATTGCTCGGCACCCCGAGCAGTTAAAGAAAGGAAGACATTCCTCATCAGAATCAGTGCGCACACTGCCAGTACCTAATGATCATCTACTGACAACACTGACAGCAATCATGAGCTTTTGAGGTATAAATACTCCTCATAAAAGGCAAAACAGTATGCAACAAGAAACTCTTTACTACGAAATATACTCAGTGCTTTCTTCTTCCTCTCCCTTTCAAAACTGAGTTGATCGTCGGAGGGAATAAGCCGGAAAACACTCCGGCGCCCTTCTAACTTGTTCTCCTTTGTTCTAGGAACCTTTCCCCAGCCTTACTGGATCATTCCTTCAATTCACGAGGGTCTCCCGTTACTGTTCCAGGTTACTACCGGACCTCACAGGCTGTCCCAAGCAGCGTGGTTGATCACTCAACTGACTCACTCGAGTTCACTAAGGGAGAGATCTGTTCTCATTTTTTATATTGTGCAAGATCCTGCCCGCACAATTATAAATTTTATTTCCAAGATAGATAAACCAATAATACAAATCGGTGTCACTTCCTTGCCATAGTGAAAAAACTAAGGTTCCCAATTTATGGGATTGCTATGAACTGCGGGGCTTCCCAAGGATATAGGCTTTGTTAGACCTTTGTTGAACAGAGAGGGCTGGGATGGGTCTAAAATGAGTTCTAAGGTGTTGTTTGATAGGAGCCCTTAACACTTAAAACAGGGTAGGTTCCATGGTCAGCGCGTTTGATAACAAAAATGGTGTGTCCCTGAATGAGATAAATATGTCTCAAAAATCACTTAAAATTTTCAGTAACCATGAGGTTACTTATTGCCGAACACAGAAGACGCTCAACTAAGAGGAGTTTATAATAACTAGCTCACAAACCCTAACCCCCAATTCCCAATCTTTCAGATCCAAATCAACTCGTAGAGAGAGATGGCGCACTTCGAGAATTCCGCCACACCCAACATCACCGACACCACTTTCTCCTTTTGTCCTCAACCTCAATTGTTATTACAACTTGATAGAAAACTGGTTATTGGAGAAAAGTGGTGAGTTTTGCATTCAAATTGTTCGGCTTTTGGTCCCAAAGAAATTTCATTCCCCCAAAATGCAAGGAACCCGATTACAACAATATCTTGATCCCATATGTGTCAGGCAACTACCATTTTTTGAGTCATCAATTAAACTTGAATTAATTTCATGATCATTTTTGGGTAATTAAAAATATGATGTGATAATAGTGGTTACAAAGTGAAAATATGTTAGACAGAGAAGTTCAAAATAAAAGAGTGTAGGGTAAAATTGAAATTTTAATATATTTCAGACTTCGGCATATTGTATTGATGAAACGGTTTAATTCAATTCAATACTTAAATATGAATGCATACCAAACAGATGTCAAATTAATCAATTCTGCATTTAGCACTTAAATTTCTATATTTTGTTTCCGTGTTTAATTTTCAGTTTTATCAAACAACACCTACGGCTAGTTGAAAACCCAAAGAAATAGAATAAGAGATGACTTTTACCTTTCCTAATCTCAAGTTGTTCCATAAGAAAAATTCAATTTCTAACCGTTTTTCCTAAAACCAAACCAATACAATTGTCACTGGCCTCGATGTCCAAACTGATTTAAGTCTAGCTAATACATATTATTAGCTAGACTTGTGTATTCTCTCAATTTCTATAAAATACAACCAGATCAAGTGCCGAGTATTTCTGTATATTGGCTACGTCATTACTTAGATTAAATGGGCTTGAATCAAGCACACACAAACTTCAGTTGAAGGCAGTTTAAACGCACCCCGATATATGAAATCTACAATTAAGTTCAATTAACTCAAGCTCAAGTAGTTGTGAAACACAGCTTGAACAGAGGCAATCCAGGTAGAACAGTAGAAGTCATATTTTCAGCTAAACCAAGAAAGAATTTAGATTGTTAATACTTGGCTCGAGCTCGACTAATGTTTAGTACAGTACAAAACATATTAACCAAGACAACTTAGAGAAGTCATTACACCGAAACTAATCATTCTTCGTTAAACTGACCGAAAATGTGTTTCTCAAACATACTACCAGGCCTGATGTCCCAGGCTGGTAAACATGCTCACTATATAAGTAACCCATACCAATACAAATAACAAAACTGCAATCACTGCATTCTGCTTACTGGCTCAAGCGCTTCAACAGTGACCACACTGTTTCCTCTGATAACCTGCAGGAAGAAAAGGTGAGATCATCAATTACCAAAGAGTTACAAAATGAGGGTTACAAAATGAGGGTATTATTATCCAATGAGATATATCATAGTCACAAGCCAACCGAAGGCAAATAGATAAAAAGGCTTACCACCATGCCTATATCAGTATTCTCATTGCCATTCACTTCCACAGTGTTGTCAATCACCAGATTCATGAACTGATCAAATCCACGAAGTGTTCCAACCACCATACGGTTGGCATTTAGCTTTACTGCAATATAGAGTACCAGTTTAAGTTCGACAAAAGGAAGTTTGATAGTAACATTATAGAATGTTGCGTAAGCAACGTAATTGGTTTCATTGTGGTTGGATCTCTAGTCCAACTTAGCGTTATGTAACGTTTTGATTGTATCAATAATTTTTTTGTTTCTTATAAAAAAAAAAAACTATTATAAAATGTAGGAAGTATGAAATAGTGGTGCACAGCACAAACCAAATGGGCCACAGTGACATTCTAGACTAAGATTGAAAATCCATGGACGGCCTTGGACTGCTAAACTGAATTCACAGCTGGGCAAACCAAACGAAGTTTGGAATGTCTCTTAGTCTATTTTCTGCAGGACTCGTGCGTATGAAAAGCCTCTTAGACTCAATTAGTTGCAGTAACATCTGATGACCAGCAACTATTAGCCTGAATGGTATCTCAGGGAGGTGCAGTGCCCAAGTCCCTGTGGGGATGCGGCTATATGGCTATGGCTTAAAAGGCGTACTGGTTTTAGGAACTGAAAATCATCCCAAAATGTTATCATATCAATGCCCACTGATGAGCAAAGTAGACAACAATAGTTAATAACCTGTGTTCTCTCTCTCTCTCTCTCAAGACTGTTTCCTCTCCCTCTTTCAACATCTATCCTCCCTTATCTTGTTTTCCCTTTTCCCCCACCTCTCCAATCCAACCACAATTGTAAACCATCTAGAAAAAGTTATTCACCGGAAACAAATTTTGGTTGAAAAGCATTTTGCATGCAGCCAAATGCTGAACATTATCTAGATATTTTTACATCTAAACAAATGGACCATAAATACCCCCCGAGCTTTTTTTAAAAAAATAAATAGATCACTAATGTTCACATGAACTTTTTGTTGAATCTCATATCTTCAACACAGACACCCCAATACAACTCTATCTCGGCAACTATGTCTAGTTGAACTGCACTCAACGTAAGATCAGACGAGTTCCTCTTCATTTGGATGTTATCTAAGTTCTCTATAACTTCAATCTTCCCACACGCACCAAAAGTTTCTCCATTCAAATTTGTGTAACTAGTTCCAAAACCTCTGATTGACAATTCTCTCCAAAGATTCAACCTCTTTTGATAGTTCAATCTACATTGCGAACAATCACAGAAAAATACTCAACTGATGCAAAAAAAAATATTTGTATGTGAGGGTCCTCTCTATTTTTTTTGTCAATTATTTAAAACGATTTTTTATCTTAATATTGTGTAGCAAATCATTTACACACATTATAACATGGCTAGCTTCTCTTGATGCTCGGATTTCTTACTAAGAAAGCGAGTAATATCTTCGTAGCCATGGTGAAGATAACCCAGATAGTAGCAGAACCAAAATGCTCATTTTCATGCCTGATGTTTCACATACCGAGCTATATATAGGGGATCAAATTAATTGAGTTAAAGTTGCAGAAGGTGATATTATGATAGATATCAGCCTCCTCCAACTTGTTATCGATGCAACTTTGACTTTTTATCACATGAAACATAAAACATAAACAACATTGCAACGACAAAGAAACTTTTTGCAAATGAACAAGGAAAACATTCATCTATCAAACTTAAATGCCATGTTATTGAACTTCTCAAGGGTGCAATTGAGCCAAAACTAAAACTAATAAGCATAAAAAGGATTTAACAAATACAAAGGCTACATCCATGATATTAAAACTAAAACCAACTTAGAAGAACCCTAGCTTTACGCTTGGTTGCTGAGAAAAAAAATTAGTAAGGAAAGAAAAATTATGTTAGACAAGTGGATTGGAGAACTTACTCTGAAGTTTCTTATCCATGTATCTGTCATCCAAAAAACCACAAAAAAAGAAATCAAAACAATGTGAAGTGAAGTAGAAAAAGAAACTAGGAATGATTTATAGAAGAACGGAAGGAATCCCAGGACCGGTGAGAGATAGAGGCATAGAGAGAGCTTACTTCTTGAGATCTGGAGGCTGACCTGATCTGCTCATGCTGAAAACCCTAGAGAGAGAAACTATCAGAGAGAGAGAGAGAGAGAGAAAGAGAGAGAGAGATGGTTTATCGGCCAAATAAACCCTTAGTGTTTGGCAATTCGTGGATGGAGCGGACTGGATTGGATTTAAATTCCAAATCAGTCCAGTGATATCCTTGGCCGGATATACGAGGGAATAAAAGGAAATTGTGTTATTCCATCCCTGCTTTGGATTGTGCATTATCAAGGGGTTGGGATATTGACAAATTATAATTTTTTAGGAAAAAATTCAACCATACCCTTCTAGTTTATCATATTTTCAAGAACACTCCTTATAATTTTTGAATCTTCAATAACACTCCTTCCAATTTAATTTAAACATTACTAACACCTCATACCATTAAACTACCATTTCTAACAAAACAAATTCATTTAAAATGCTCCTACATAACCTCAAGTAATTTTTTCACATAAAATTTTATTAAAATTTGAGCTGTTAAATTTTTAAAAAAAATCGTAAATAACAATTTTAGTAAATAATTTGTTAGTAAATACTAATTTGTTATTTACTAATTCGTAAATTTTAAAAAAATTCAAGCCTATTAAAATTTATTTTTTACAAATTAAGATTTGAGCCAATTTGAACTCTACCCGAATTGTTAGCGCCGACTAAAATTCTCTTTCGAGTCGATTAAAATTTATATTTTTTTACTTATCAAAATTCGTGTCAATTAAAATTCGATTTATTAAAATTTAAGTCAATTAAAATTCATATATTTTTATATATTAAAATTTGGTCTGATTAAAATTCAATGCGAATTGATTAAAATTTGATTTGAGTCGATTAAAACTAATTTTTAATTGGCTTAAACAAAATTTTAATTAGCCCAAATTTTAATACGTAAAAAAAAATATAATTTTTAATTGGCACAAATTTTAATATGTAAAAAAATAAATTTTAATTAGCTTGAATCGAATTTAATTACGTAAAAAAAATTAGAAAACAGAGGAGGTTTCATTGAAAATATACTTATCTAGAGGGGGTCTCATTGAAAATATGCTTATCTAGAGGGGGTGTAGATGAAATTTGTCCTCAAATATATCATGGACAATTTAGAAAATTGTATTCTACTTAATATTTTTAATCTGATAGGGGTGTCATTGAAGATTTAGAAACTAGAGGGGGTGTCCTTGAAGATATGGTAAACTAGAAGGGGTGTGGTTGAAATTTTTCCAATTTTTTATTAAACATATGATACCTTTGACATTAATTGACCATTTTATCCTTAAATCCTATCAAATCCTATGTCATTTTTGGCTTGAGACTTTTTAAATATTTTTTTTTTAACTTTTTGATCATTGTTGGTTACCAATTTAATATTGTGAAAAAAATAAGAATGCCTATGTATTCACCAAATATATGTTATTATACGTTGATTTTATAATACAAGTTTATAAGTTGCTCACAAATTTATTTCATCTGCCAAAGGTATTAAAAAATTTATGACAAAATATGCTTGAACATACGAAAAACTACGGCACAACCCAAATTCACATGAACCATAGTAGAAATTAAACGTTATTTATTTTTAATAATAAAAAAGACGATAAAATTAATTCCAATGACAAGGAAAAATACAAGAAACCATTATGGGAAAAATTATATACAAACCTCATTCAAAACATGTCAAAAAGAACAAAAAATGTGTTAATAAGAAAAAATATATACAACATACCCATACAGTCAACTAGTGTGATCCTTTATCATAAAAAATTGAGCACTTTTTTTAGTCTACCAAGTGGTAGAATTATTCGGTCATGCAGCAGCATAAAATTTACCATGTTCGGCAACAAATTAAAACAAGAAAAATACGAAATCAACTAATCATTCACAACCGTGTTAGCCTAGCATCGACAACCACATTCAGTACTCTATACATATGAAATAATTGTAAACTAGAAGGGGTGTGGTTGAAATTTTTTAAATTTTTTATTAAACATCTGATACCTTTGACATTAATTGACCATTTTATCCTTAAATCCTATCCAATCCTATGTCATTTTTGGCTTGACAATTGTTGGTTATCACTTTTTAAATATTTTTTTTTTAACTTTTTGATCATTGTTGGTTACCAATTTAATATTGTGAAAAATATAAGAATGCCTATGTATTCACCAAATATATGTTATTACACGTTGATTTTATAATACAAGTTTATAAGTTGCTCACAAATTTATTTCATCCGCCAAAGGTATTAAAAAATTTATGACAAAATATGCTTGAACATACGAAAAACTACGTCACAACCCAAATTCACATGAACCATAGTAGAAATTAAACGTTATTTATTTTTAATAATAAAAAAGACGATAAAATTAATTCCAATGACAAGGAAAAATACAATAAACCATTATGGGAAAAATTATATACAAACCTCATTCAAAACATGTCAAAAAGAACAAAAAATGTGTTAATAAGAAAAAATATATACAACATACCCATACATTCAACTAGTGTGATCCTTTATCATAAAAAATTGAGCATTTTTTTAGTCTACCAAGTGGTAGAATTATTCGGTCATGCAGCAGCATAAAATTTACCATGTTCGGCAACAAATTAAAACAAGAAAAATACGAAATCAACTAATCATTAACAACCGTGTTAGCCAAAGCATCAGCAACCACATTCAGTACTCTATACACATGAAATAACTGTAAATCTATTTTTCACAACATATCATTAATCTTTACCACAAAAGCATGAGTAAACCATTGTGCCAAACCATTCTTTACAATGTTCACATGCACCATGGAATCCAACTCAATCACAAATGTACAATCAAGGTTTCCCATATTATTCAATTACGCACAAACCATCAAAATAGGGCCCTGAACTCAGCCTCCATGTTCCAACATATACCATAGTAAAAAGAGTCATCCAAATAACCATTGCCTGAAACCAAAACATTACACATATTTAAGACATCGCAGTTTATATTTCGGATAGTACACGTCTATATTATTGGCTGCCTTAACCTATCCGTACAAAATAAAGGCAACATGTCTTAAATTGTTTGGTGAAGCCATATCCCCACAGACGCTCGTACATCCTACACTACCACAAGTTGTACATAGTAATTACCAAAATGGCTTGTGGCATGTAACAAAATATTATACACACACTAGTACATACATAAAAATATTTTAAATGGGAAACATGCCCATAAAGATCGTCTACTCATTCAATCATCGATGACTATAACATCGACGTGCCTTGGAGAATTCATTAACGGTGATGAACCAACACTATCCAATTGATGATTGCTTGAAGAAGCATCATCTCATTTGAAAATAACACCAAAATATTTGAAGTTTGGGCACCAGTCAAGGCAATACTGTCCAGCGAAATCATCGTCCTACAAGTGTAAATTTGAAGAAAAGCATTACTTTAAATAATAACTCACATGATTGAAGGGTAAAAAAAAGTGTATGTACAAAATTTGTTAAAATCCAAAATCACTTACTTCCAAGAACTTATTTGCACCAATTATGTCGGAGTTGTGCACTACACATTTCTTAAAAGGGTCCCATTCAAACAACCCACTGTCAATCATCTTAGAAATTGTAAGGTATTGTCGCTCCCAATAGAATATAATCCTAATAAACTCAGTAAAGGACAAACTGAACTTTGACATTTTGTGTTTCAAGACGACCAACATACTGTCAACCATTTTTGTGTTGTACTTCCCAAAATGCGGAAGCTTCCCTCTATTTTTGTAATCGATAAGTGTGTACATTTTGTTTCATCCTCACTATTTTTTGGCATCTTCATTACACACTACAATAATAACAATCATTCATTAGAACAATATGACTTTGATTTATGATTCATGGAAGATTAATGAAAATTCGTAGCAAATTTGACATTAGTCTCAATCAAACAACAGGCAATAATATGAAAATTGGCAAATATACTCATATTGAAGTTACATCAGAATTATACATAGGTAGCACATCACAACCAAAGTACATCACATCCAAAACTTTGGTTACTTACAACCAATGGCCAAATGTCTTTAGTCTTCATCATTATACGATAGTCATTAATGTAATAACATAAAGTCAACCAACTCTACCCATAACCGAGTACACAATATGGGTGAGTAATATGCCCAAGATGAACATTACAATAGTTATCATGCACCAAATGATATCATGCGAGTATCCACTTTCTCCAATTGCAACAACTGGTTGTTCATTCTTGTCAATAGGAAGATCTTCATGACGTTTTGCCAAATCTGCAACTGCATGGACCTCGATCTCATTAGGTACATCTCGTACAGGTTCTCCTATATCCCTCGCATTGTACATGTCAAAAGCAGTTACAATATCATTGTACGTATCATACGATTTGTACAGTGCACCTGGGTACTTATTCACATGTGCATGACACTCAACCTAAGATTGGTAAATGTCAACCTGTCTTACAACAAATACAACGTACCAATGTTGTTTCTTGTTCATATCTAATTGCACAAAAAATACCATTTATGTTACCACTACTTTTACTTTAGTAACAAATGATAACTACACTACATAATAAGCGGCAGTATATAAATTGGCCATTGTAATGCATCTGGTGCATGAGATAATACCTTCAAAGCAACATTACATGAGCAAAGTACATAAAAAGTACCCATGCCAAGGTTCTTAATACAAGTATTGTCACATGGTACACAAAATAATAAGTTCACCCAAAACTTTGGGGCGTTAGTGCAAAACATGATTATAACATCAACGTACCACATGACATGTACTTACTTCATATGTAGGTACGACTTACATACAAGTGCATATATTTACATATCAACAACATTTATAAATAATACCCAATGTTGACATTGACCAACAACCCAACATTGATAATGATCAATGTTGGGTTGTGTTCCACAATAAACCACCAACCTATGTCGGTTGCTCATAATCGGGTAAGTTGAAGAAGATGTCCACATTTACGGGGTCCAAACATATCAGTTTTAGTGCAGCATGACGATCACCCATGGAAATT